AGGCAAATATATTTGATTAGGCTTATGAGGAGAAATTAGAGGAAAGTGGTTGTAGAGTGATGTAATCACTATCCTGCATATGAAAAGATCCAAAATAGGACAACTGTTCAGTATTTCTTTGTTTTTGAGATGGAGTCTTGCTCTGTCACCCAGCCTGAAGTGCAGCGGTGCAGTCTTGGCTCACTGCAACCTCTGCTTCCTGTGTTCAAGCGATTCTCTTGCCTCAGCCTCCTGAGTAGCTGGGATTACGGGCGCCCACCATCACGCGCGGCTACTTTTTGTATTTTTAGTAGAGATGGGGTTTCACCATGTTGGCAGGCTGCTCTTGACCTCCTGACCTCAAGTGATCCACCTGCCTCGGCCTCCCAAAGTGCTAGGATTAGAGGTGTGAGCCACTGCACCTGGCCCGCTACTTCTTGAGGTAGGAGAGAGCAATGAAGATAAACATGGTTAAAACAATTTTGTTGAGCTGTAACAAAGAAATACCGGTGAGAGAGGGATGCTGCTCACCAAGAGTACAAACCTGACTTTTATGGACAAACAACCCATATGGACAAGGGAAGTGCTATTTGGAATGACTCAGTAATGCCCTTGCCTCTCAATGGTTAATCATTAATATTATTAATGATTGATATTTATATTTATTTTAAGTAGCAATTCAGTAAAATGTACCAAATTCAGTTCCATGGCTTTGGGCCTTTGAGACATCCTCATTAAACCTCGTGTGACTCAGGATGTTCTCTTTGGATGAAAATATTAACTCTGATGTTCTATTTGGACAACAATCTTAAGAACACCAGTTGGCTTGATAATGACTTTCAGGCATGATTAACTTCGGGGTTTTCTGAGTAAGCAAGAAGGAAGGATGGGCAGGTGGTTTCAGGTGCCCTGTTCAAGAACCGGTAAAGTAATAAAAGATTGTTACCTGTTCCAATAAGCATTCCCGTTCATCAACCAGCTTTTTCAACCTAATATCTAAAGAAATCAGAAAGACACAGGTTTAGGTGAATCCGTGTGCCGCGCCTTTCAGCACATTGCTAAACTGAAGAATGATCGTTCAGGTTAGTGAAATGAATGATGGAAGTAGTTATACACGTACCACGGTGAATGAGGCCACAGACAGGACGGGGGAAGAATTCAGCCAAGGGGGGTTGGGTCAACCTCCCAGAACATGCTTCACGTCAGGGGCAGCATCCGGCTGCATGCAAACAGGCTGCTAATCTTCTACCTTAGGTTAGCATGCAAGAACGCTAGGGCCAAACCACACTGCAACACAAGATCTCACAGGCTTCATGGTTTAACATCATTAGCAATGTACAAACACTGAGAATCACAGTTCAATAGCACCAACATTTTGAACAGCCTCGCCTTTCCAAGTTTACATCCCAGATTTCTTTATCTTTCTAACGTCTCTCATAGACTCATCGATGTCAGTGCTGTGACTATCTGTTTACAACCCTAAGTCCACTAACACCTCTGCTAACCCAGTTATCAAAGGTGCTTCTTTTGAGGAAGAAGGCAGTAATGGTTTAAGTGTCTGTAATTCCTCCCACCCATGATATATAAAGATGCATAAATGTTAAGTGTCTATAAATTACCCAAACATCTCTCTGAAGGAGGGTCAAGTACTACGGTCTTCGGACTGGGTGGGGGAAACCACAGCTTGGGGAGGGTTTAGAGGTTTGGGCAAAATCCCACACTAGTGTAAAGGCACAGTCAGAATGCTGGAGTGATGACAGTGATAACGTATGCTACACACTCACTCTGACACAGGTACAGTTTTAGCAGCTTTGACATCATTAGCTTGTTTCAGCCCTGGAAGCCCTACGGGTGGGCTTCATTACAGCCTCCTTCTATAGATGAGGCTCAGAGGCCCAGAACCACTAAGCAATTTTCTTAAGGCCTTGCAGCCCAACCACAGGAACATGCCCCTAATGGCACCCACTATTTTTCCAGATCTAAACTCACACCTCTGAGTCTGACCCTGACTCAAAGCTCTTAGCCCACTGGGACGCTGCTCTCACGCGGCCTACCTCCAGATTCTTCGCAGAATGAACAACTAACCTTGATTAGCCATGTGAAAAGAAAATAATTCATATAAAATGCATCTTCATTTTCATTTAAAAAATCATCTAGCCACATGCTAATCCAAGTTACATTTTTCTCTAATTATGTTTTCCGAAGATCCTAAGTTGTTGTTTTGAAAGGCACAGTAAAACACCAGATAATATTAAGCACAATATAAATTAAATTTATCATCCTTTTGAGTTCTATTTTAATTTATAGTCAAATTACTTCTGACAGATGTTTTACTCTTTCCCTCCTGTAACCCACCCAACACTGAAAAAAAACCATTTTTGCAGTTATAAACCTGATTCTTTTGTCCAGTATCACTATTCATTTTCTTACATGTTTTAATACTCCTACATACAAAAACTACAGGCATCATAAGAAACACTGAATATATCAGAATGTGATCTTGAAGCTCAAGTATCTATAGTAAATTATTGTTTTCTTCTAGAAAACTTCAAATATTCTAGATAAGCACTAGAAAGTAACTGTTAAAATGTAATAAGAGCGCAAGCAAAATCGATATAGGTAAACTGACATTGAGTTGTATAGTGAGAATATTAAAAATAGAGAGAGAAGAAACTTTTAAGGAAGAGAAATTTTAAAGGAGACTTGGAGAAGAAAACAAGAACGAAAGAGTTTGAAGAAAACAGAAAAAGAAATGAAGCAAAATAATTTGACATGAAGAAAATAAGAGTACTAGTTTTCACAGCGTTAAAAACCACCAAGTCCAATTTGTTGAATAAATAGTGGCACATCACTGGTAGACTTATAATGTCTGCATAATTGGGAAATTTTTCCCTGTATGAGCCACCAGCCATTCACATGTTGAAAAATATTTAAGAGAGGCAGTAGATAGGGACAAAGAGAACAAAAGGATTTTCTTCTTGAAAGACAAAGTTTCCTCCATGTACAACTATCACACTGAACAAGTACATATTCTGAACATAATACATGCGCACACAAACACCCCTCCCTTTCCCTTAGGGGCCCAGACGTCTGGAACAAATCTTACTGTTGTGTTCCCTTGACGGGTGGCCATGGGTGGCATGCTGTACAGGGTTAGGGGGTGGTCTCCCAGAAAGGGAGTCTATCAACAGAAAACAGGAACCCCAAACCATCTAAACTCCCCAGAATTAGCATTCAGGGTTCTAGTGATAGTGGAAACTTAAGTGTCAGGTCATTAGGTCTTCTGTTAACTGCAAATATTAAAAACTATGGAAAGTGACCAAGGTCATACATCTCTTTTAGGGTCATTCTTGAAAACTGTTTAAAAACTTGATCGCTGTCCAACCTTTGTATAACAACCTATAATTCAAAATCCATCTTCCTCTGTATTTTTGACAGACACCTATAATTATACTTAATTATACTTTTGAAGGAAGATTTACATTTATATATGGGAGCTATGTTCGGGTTTGGGACTGAAAAATATCCATGCTTTTTGATTTCAGGTGTCAGTAACCAATGTTTTTCTCTATTCTGTATGATAGTGAAACCCCAGTGGTCTAGGTTCCTCTGGGGATATGGCTGGAAGGCAATCTTTCGATTCTTTTCTGAGTTTGAATCTTTTGACGCTATAATCTTTCTAAATTGCCATATATATTTCTATACCTTCTTACATGGAGTATAGCTAAGTCAACTTTCTCTTTCTTTTCTTTCATTTTTTTTGAGACAGGGTTTCACTCCATTGCCCAGGCTGGAGTGCAGTGGTGTGATCATAACTCACTGCAGCCTCGACCTCCCAGGCTCAGATGTTTCTCCCACCTCTGCCTCCTAAGTAGCTGGGACTACATGCACATGCCACCATGCCTGGCTAATTATATATTTTTTTTGTAGAGATGGACTTTCACCATGTTGCCCAGGCTGGGCTTGAACTCCTGGGCTCAAGTGATCCACCTACCTCGGCCTCCCAAAGTGCTGGGATTATGGGCATGAGCCAATGTGCCCGGCCTTAACCATTTCTTGGTAAGTTAAGAGCCTTCACAGTAATATCAATTACTGTGCTTGGCTATAAAGTCATTACACTGGAGAGCAGATAACTGATGCTCAGAACGAAGGCTCTGAAATCATCGAGAAATGGCTTGGCTCCTCAGAAGTCTTTCTTTTTCCTTCTTTTTTGCTCATGGATTTTCAGCTGCCCATTCCCTACTGGAGGGCTGGGTCCTAGCCGCTTGTTCAATGGTACAGTGCCTTCCATGTACAAAGTGATCAAACCTGTTTATTAATTAAACAAATGAGTGGTGAATCACTGAGACAGCTGGATGGCTGAGCTGAGGGATGTGACGTGTGCCCAACGTCCTGCAGGGTGCTGGTGAATAACATGGGAAAGAACTTAAAATGGCTTGATGATCTCACCATTTAGTGACCTTGGTTGTTGAACTGCTTTCCAAGAGCCCTTTAAAGGTAGGAATGAGAGCTGTTTCCAGTATGCATTCCAATATGAATGCAGCTTTGCTAAAGTTAGAGACATAAACTAAAACCCTGTGAAGTCCTATAGAGCCCTTGGACTTGATTTCCTAGCAAGCATTCATCATCCCTACCATCCTCCACTTCAGGACACTTGAGCAGAAATAGTCAAGGTTTTTTCCATTTTCATCATACTCTTCAAAACATTCTAAGTATTGGTGCATTCAAGCACAGCAACAGATGAAGACCGTTTTCAACTGAGGCTGCACATTAGAACCACAGATCACAGGAGATGGTGCGGGACGATCGTCTCAATTCTCCCAGTAATGCTCATGCTAGCCCCCGGCTCGATGCCAGGAGGGAAGTGCATTCCTTACTGAGGACGGGCATCAGGTGTGGGTCTTCCACAGGACCCCAGTGGGAATCAGCAACCCGCAAGCAGGTATTACTGGAAAGGTGGTATTACATACAACAGTAGTCAGACTCAGACTTCAAGCAGCCCAAAGAGTGGAACCACAGTCTTGTACAATTATAAAATGTTTTTATTTCAGTTACATAATAACACTTACGTTTTCCTCAAATTTTATTGAGGTTTTGGTCTTTTTGCATTAAATTCTATCTTGTAACAGTAATATGAATCCACATAATTTCATAAAATGTCAACATTCATAAGGTACATTCCTTTGTGATTTTATATTTTACAATTTTAAATCTAACTTTACAATTATTTTTTAAATGTTTCTTTATATAGAAAACAGATATTTTCTTCAGGCAGATCAAAACACAAATTTTCCAATAAGAATACACTGGGACATAACAAATGAAAATATTTATACCAAAATACCAAAAGTGATTCAGCTCTTTAAAATATTCTACTATAGTCTAATTAGTAGTTTGTACAAGAACAAGTAACCTTTTTTACTGCTCTTTTGAATGATGATTAGAAATTCAAACAAAGAGAAGTAATTTTAAGGTTCAAAATCTCTTTTTTTTTTTTTTTTTTTTAAGAGACAGGGTCTCACTCTGTCTCCCAGGCTAGAGTACAGTGGTGCATCATAGCTCACTGCAGCCTTGAACTCCTGGCCTCAAGTGATCCTCCCATCTTGGCTTCCCAATGTGCTAGGGTTACAGGCGTGAAAACATTGTTTTGTGTTTTTTTTTTTTTAGACAGAGTTTCGCTCTTGTTGTCCAGGCTGGAGTACAACGGCTTGATCTCGGCTCACTGCAATTTCTGCCTCGCGGGTTCAAGCGATTCTCCGGCCTCAGCCTCCAGAATGGCGGGGATTACAGGCACCCACCACCACGCCTGGCCAATTTTTTGTATTTTTAGTACAGACAGGGTTTCACCATGTTGGCCAGGCTGGCCTCAAACTCCTGACCTCAGGTGATCCACCCGCCTCGGCCTCCCAACGTGCTGAGATTACAGGCGTGAGCCACCGCGCCCAGCCAAAAACATTTAAAAAATGACTGTCCCTGCTCAAATACTGCAGTAGTAGGAAATGTAATTTGACATATATCACTACCAGAAAAAAACTTTAAATCTTTCTATAAAATGAAATTGATACATCATCAGCATGAAGTGAAGTTAAAATCTCCTACAGAGTAAATTCAGGTATATCAACAATGAGATCCAAAAGCATTGGTTCAAGATCAAAGACTTCTATGAGGTGAAGGCCAGCAAAGCCCCTCGTGCTTTCAGACGTTTACTTGTTATCCTTAAAATGACTATTGTTCTAAGGTGCAAATCTTATCATTCAGTGACCTATTTGCTATTTGGCTGTTTATCCCCTTTAAATAAAATACCATACAGGTTATAATGTACATTTAAAAATCAAATATGAAAATACACATATGTGAACAAGACATTAATTTAAATATCAATTATATTCATAATACATAAGTCTAAGAATGCTATTTGGTCATTTCAACTAGATGCTGATATATTTGGTCAAGAATATCCACATTCCTATCAGCCTAAGGCAAATGGTAAATGCTTCTATTTTTATTAAGTGGACTATAAACAGTAGACATTATTGTTTGATACTACTGGAATGCTCTCAATTAGAACATACACTGATAACAAATATGTCTTTCTAATCTGGGTGATAACCTCAATGATTACATGGAAATCTACAAGTAACAGTCTATAACTTAAAGCAGATCACCTGGTGATTGGCATACAGTGCACCTCTATGAATTTATAACATTCTACTTACATTGGCAGTGGAGAAAAGAGCCCCTCACACTCAGACTTCCTGGGCACCACACCTGCCGCCTGCCTCAGCTTAGGACATGGTACAGTCTTCTTTGCTTTTGCCCTTCTCATTCCCTCCTCTGGTATCTTCTCTGCTTTCTGGATTGAAGTCCCCCGGCTCTCCTCCCGGTGCCGACAAGTCATCATTTTCTAGGCTACTGCTGTCTAAAGCTTTCCTCACAGTCTGACTTGGATGTTCTGACATCCCACACCTCTCTGTACTTTCTGCTTCACAGGCATCGCTAATGTCCTGTGAGGGACTTTCATTTTCGGGCAGGGCGCAGCTATCTGCGTCTTCGCTCTCTGCTTCTAGGGGACTGCTTTGAGTGGCACCATCTGTTTTAGCATTATCTTTTGCAACACTGTCATCTAATTCTTCACCACCAGCCCTCGGGCCTAATGATTGAACTGTGTCATCCTCAAAATCTAATGTGTCTCCATCAGCTAGTACCACCTCAGCTGCTGTTTTTACATCATCGCCTTCTTGGTCAAGTTTTCCAGCCAACTTAATTTTAGGATTCTCCGGACAATCAGCATTTTCACTGCTTTCTGCCGCAATTTTCTGTTTTGGATTTTCAGGCGCCTCGTTTTGGGCTTCCACTGCGGACTTTCTGTCAGTAGACTTTACCTGCTCTTCTTCCTTAATTTCACTTAAATCTGTGTTCTGATAAGTTAACTCTTTTTTAACATCTTTAAGGGTTTCTACAGGTACTGGGGATTTTTTCTTCTTGTTTTTCTTTTTCTTGTTCTTTGTCTTCTTCTGCGATGAGTCCAATGCCTCTCCCTGTTGGTCATTCTTTTCTTCCTCAGGCTCTTTCATATCTAAGGATTCACTTTGAGTGTCTACTGTACTCGGACCTGTCGCTTCCTGACCATTGCTCTCAGTTCCTGCTGGAGAACCAGGAACTTCTGTCTTGATTGGTTTCTCATCCCTTAATACTGTTTCTTCACCCTCTTCTTCGTTGTGATCCCTACCTACTTCTGTACTCTGCACTGGAACCTCCTTGGGCTCAGCTGCTTCCTGGTTGGTGAATTCTTTCTCTAAACTATGCCCTGTGCTTGTCTCTAACTCTTGGGGGACCTCTACCGTACATTTGTCATCATGATAAACTGTGTCATCACTATGCCCTAAAGGACATGAGGCCACTGTGCCTGCCTGCTCTCCAACCTGAGTCGCCGCTGCCTCTCCCACATTCCCTGTGTGGTTCCCACCATCTAAGTCATTCCAACAGCTGGATGGCTCAAGGGGAGTTCTGGTCCTGTCATCTGGTGCACCCATGACCTCATCTGACTCAGCCTGTGCTGTGTTTTCAGGGAGAGAAGTGCTCTCTAGAATTTGGTTTTGAACTTGTTCCTCATATGTAGCACCTGCTAAGGTTCCTAGGAATGGGGCAGTGTCTTCAGAGGATTTCTGGTCCTCGGTATTCTCTCCAGCAGGGAATACCTCTATGTCCACACAATCTTTCACTGTGTCCTCTGTGTGTTGTTCTTTCTCAGTATTGTGCAAGATTTCTCTTTTCCCCACATTCGCCACGATTTCATTTTTCACCTCCACTTCACTGGCTCTTCCTAAAAGACCATTGAGAAAATTGAAGGGACCCCATGATGTGGCGGCCACATAATTTACATTAGAATGTAAATACATGTTCTAAATCCCACCCACCCCTATTCCTAAAGAGAGTCATCAAAGAGTCATGAGAAACAAGCCTTTGCCAGTTCTGTGCGGCAAAGCAGCAGTTGCATTAGTAAATTTTGGGTCAGTGAGGGCCACTGCCACCACATCAAAGGCCAGAGTGGCTGCTGGTGCCATCTTGTGTGGACAGATTTTTAAAGGTGAAGTTAAGTTTTGACAAATAGAAAGAACTCTGGATCAGGCAGCCAAACAATCCACAATGATGGGTTTAGGAACGCACTGAAGGTGCAATTCCCCACTCTCACTTCTCAACACACAACTTGACTACTTGTATTTGTGCAGCTGTCAAACTGCACTGCATGTCACACAGCCCTAAAAGCAGCTTGCAAGTAATTTTTTCAAAGAATATTCAGTGCACTTTTAGAAATGCAGCCCCAAGGTCAATCTCAAGGAAGATGCTTTTGAAATAGCTCGTATGAAAAGAAATCTAGCTTCTGCCACTCAACCATTGTCTTCCTGAGAAAACACCCTGTGTCCGTGCCCTGATACCTCTGCTCCGTTCCCTAAGGGACTAGGGAGAGAGGACCAGCAGGAGGCAAATGTTGAAAGATCAAGATGACCACTAAATTAAATAAATTATTCATCGTCTAAAGAACATCAAACTGTTTTGGAATTTTTGGATTCTCCAAACAAAACCGCAGCAGATTAGATATAGTACTATGTTACTGAAAGTCAAAGCTAGATAATTTTATAGCCCAGTGGTCTCCATAGTGGGGTGCCCGTATCCCAGGGAAAATGGAGGAAATATTAGGAATTCTATTTAGAGTTTTACTCTAAAACTTCTTTGCATATGTTTTTATATGCTTTATAATGTACATTTTATACTAATGAAATAGTATACATATATAGATTTAAAATAAACATATATATTGGAAAGTTCCTACAATTATTTACCGAAGGAATATGTGATCAAAAGTCATTTGAAGGCCACTTTCAAAACTGACATTTCTGGTTCTTTAAACATCTCTCAATGGTTATCAAAGATTTAGTAACAGCAGCATAATCAAATTCCTAGCTGTTTGGGTAGCTCATATAAAGGTATGATGGAAATTTATTTATTTATCTTTTTTCAACAATAGCATACAGATATTATATACATATCTAGAGATGGAATCTTGCTATGTTGCCAGGCTGGCCTGGAATTCCTGGTCTCAAATGATCCTCCAGTCTTGGCACCCGCAGCATTGGGATTAGAAGTGTGAGCCACTGCACTTGGCCACAACTTTTTTACACAATTGAAAAGAGCTGTGTTTCTTTAATAGTCATAAAGATAATGAATGAGGTATCTCCCTGGAATACAAGTCCTGAGAAGATGGGGCCTGGAGGTGTCTACGTTTCCATAAATAAAAAGAAGTACGATGAAAGTTTCTAAATTAAAACGAAAAGTCATGGACCCTGACCTTATTCCAGCCTCCTTGTGAAACACTGGCACGCAGAGGGTGACCAGTGACAGATGAGGCCTCACTTGCGTGCTGCAACTTCAGGTTGCACGCCAGAATCTGAAGGTTCCTCCCAAAGCCAACTCTTATGACAGATTATGACAAATCAGGTCACTGAAAATGGTATAAGATACTCCTCTACTCTACTGGATTCCCCAGTTTTATATTCTTTCAGAAGCAAACACGTGGCATACAAAGGAGGATCTCCTCTGACAAAGTGGGCATACTCAGACTCTCAGCACGGCTACACCCCTACCACGGCCGCCCGCCCGCCTCGAGCGTGGCTTGAAAACGGCAACACAGATGGACCTGCTGTCCACAGGCACCCCGTGCCCTCAAAACGCTCAATGCTTTCCAGGATGTCGAGGTTGGCTTGCAAATATGGCCAACTGACTGACTTGACAGCCTCGACTATTCTGATCTTTTGATAATTCTGTCACAGAATCAGTTTAAAAAGCCACACTTTATATGTACAGATACATATGTGTCTGAGGAAAACCAAAGAGTACTCTCCACATTGTTACTTAATTTTGAGACTACTTTCCTTGCCTTCACAGTCTTGCTTGGTAGCTTTGAGCAGCAAAAGACAAGATATACTTGAGCCACTGATGGTGCACTACACAGAGATGCATGCCAGACAACACGTGGATGACCACACCGGTGGTAAGGAAATTACCATGAAGTGATGAAACAAATGGCATGCTGGTGACTGTTAACCCAGCAGTGACAGTGGCTCCAACCCCAACAGTGCATGGAGGGTGAACCAATGCTGAGTGGAAAGGCGGAAGAAGCCGAAGGAAAGCAAATACTTACCTAGGGTCCCATCCCCTGTCGACTTGAGGGCATTTAACTCTTCTTTCGTCATCTTGGTAGGACCTTGGTACCCAACATTATTGAGAGTGTCGGAAGTCTCTCCATTGGTAGCTATTTCTGAATTTAGGATTATTCCGTGTTTCTGGGAACAAAAATAGGCTCATCGTAATATTTACTCAGTGATATTAGGTTAAACTCTGCTTTAATACAACTAACAAAAAAGAAAAGAAAACCATTTTTTCCTGAAGTACAGGGTAACTCCACAGAGACAGAGAACCGCTAGGGCGCAGCGCTCGTAAATATTCGGTCAACACACACAAATCTGGGATATCGTCCTCTAAAGGCTACTTCTTTCTCAGATGTTCCAATCCATGCCTTCATTTGCTGGTGACAAGCTACTTCCACCAGGCATCCTTTTCAACTACAGGTAGTGGCCTGTGGGCTGCCCCCAAGTGAAGTGGAGCGGTAAGCAAGTCACCGTCATGCAACCTTTCATTTTAAAACCCTGGCTGCATTCTTTAAAAAGAAGAGCCAGATAAAGAAAGAAATATATACATGTTCTGAAAGGCGTAGATGAAACTTACGTTAAAGAAGGAATTAAGAGGTGGCTAGAACGTTCAGTATGTTCAAAAGAAACAGAATTCACTGAAAACAGCGGCACTTCGCAACTGCAGACATCACTCACCCACGCCCTCCTGCCGCCCGCGTCTCTCTCCCTTGCGTGTGAGGAACTCCCCTGTACTGATCGCCTCTTTGAGGAGCAGAATGACGAATCTTAGCTCTAAGCCTGTACCTGGCTGGCTCACTGCTCTGGCTTTGACCCTGGAGGCCAAGCAGCAGATGGTGACAGTTCAGGAAACCCCCACCCAGAGTGCTGTCACTGGCACTTCACCTGTGTCAAGCAGGCCATGAAGACGCCTTAGCATGGCCCGCAAAGGACAGGGAACCTTCTTCCACCTGTAATCTAGTAGGTCTCAAAGCCTAATTAGCGGGATCCTTGCTCAAACCACTTACCCAAGTCACTGTTCATCTAGAGAAGTCCTTAAATTGGGGGTTTTAATATAAAGAGGCAAATTAATTCTCTGAGTAATATCCTGGAGAATTTACTAATGAGTATGAGAAAAATTTAGATAATATATCAAAAAATTCTTGCGTTCAAGATCAGCTATGTTTATTAACATCAAAAGACCTTGGGCACCACCCACTGAATCTACATTTATTTTACATCTCATCGGTGTCAGTTAACCCAAGATATGAATTATTAACAGAACTAAGCTCAATGACATAAAATTAATTATGTACACACATATTCAAAGAATCCCAAAATTTGCTGTTGTCACTTGGATTTTTTTTTTATCAAACTGTACTTTGGCTTCATACCTTTAATTCCTCTTTCAGCATGACTACTTCTTCTCTAAGATCATCCCGTTCACTCCTTACGGAATCAAAGAACTCTTTCTGCCTCTCTAACGCCTGAGTGTGCAGCAGAGCCAAGAGAAAGAAGATTTGCAGAGATGAGCAAGTTACTTCAGAAGCGGGAACCAGAAGGAGGCTTCTACCATCTAAAACACTAGTGGACTCTAGACATTAAAGAGACTCTGCCTAAAGATACTAACAAAATCCAAGTATTAAGCTTTTCACTTAGTATATATAATCCAAGAAATGTTACTGTTCATACTCCATGAAAGACATGCGCATTCTGAAGCACACAAACACAGCACGGGGTCCCAGAGGTTACTATATTTGCATCACTTTCTAGCGTTGTCTGCGTGTTCACAGCTGCGTTAGAGTTAAGCAAAGTCTCCACTTGAATGAGGGATCAATAAAGAAAAAGGATTGCTTAAGCACCTCCCAGAACAGCTGTTGCAGCCATTTAGACTATTTTTACACATTGATTCTTGGTATCCATCGTCTCAGATAAACAAAGTGGTCCTAAAGTGTGCACGCGTGTACACACATACACACAATCCTAAGTGCTGATGAGCACGACAGTGGAAACACGGTGTGGCTTGTTGAGTCCATGTGCCGACAGTTTGTACAAGTATCTCGACGTCTTTATCAGAGCTGGGTGTATGAATCACTGTTTTGGGGAAACCATTTGTCATTATGAATCACAACAGTTACTTTGTGGGGTTCTGTTCCCCCTATTCTTCAATTCTAAGTGTAGAACTGCCTCTTCTCTTCTTGTGCAGGGAGAAGGGTATGTGGAGGCCTTCCCTGGGGAAGATTTCAAGGTGGGGATATCTGCCAGGTGGTGCTTAGATTTTTTTCTCAAAGCACCGCCAGGCAGTTAATCCCAAGAAGTCTGGCCTTGCACACATCAGACCTCCCCAGAGCGCCCTCCTCACTCCAGGTGTTTCACCAACCACTGGCCCGGCCCACCCACGGGGCAGGCAGGCAGCACGGCTACGCATTCACAAGACCCTCCGTGGACGGACCATGTCACATTCCAAGTTCATATCAATTTGGATACGTTAGTGTATTCACTACGTAATAAAATTAAATCAATTAATACAACTTTGTGTCATGTGGGAGTTGCATGCATACTCAGACAAGCGGTTTTGCAAACTAAACACTCTGAAAAAACTCTATTTGCTAAGCGAAAAAACTCTATTTGCTAAGCAGGCTGCCCATTTGAGTAGATTTTCAAGACTTGAGAATCCTACCCCTATCTTTTTGTCTTTCCACTCTATTGTTTCCTGAAGATCAGAAATCTCCCTGATAGAACTCGCCTGTTTCTGCTGTAGCTGTCGGATTTCCTGAGGAAAGGAACAGATAGAAAGCAGATAAAGGGTTAAAGAGGAAGAAAAACCCCAGCCCAAGAGATAACCTGAGAGCTGGGACAGTGAGTGAGGCTGCAAGCACCGTTTTACCTCAACAACCCTGAATTCATCGTCGGCATTCTAAGATTTTTCTCCTTGTCCTACTCCTGGCTTCAAGTGCAGGAAGAAAACCTGCTTTGGGTGAAATTCTCACTTCAGGGCAGCAGTTAAAGAATAAGTCAAAAAATTAAAAACCAACCCTGTATTAGTTTCTTATTGCCATTGTAATGAATCACCATAAATTCAGCAGCTTAAAACACAAATTTATTCTCTTGTAATTCTAGAGGTCAGAAATCCAAAATGAGTCTTACGGGCTAAAAATCAAGCCTTTCTAGAGGCTCTAGTGAGAATCTGTTTCCCTGCCTTTTTCAGCTTCTAAGACTGAGTTACTGTCCTTGGCTTATGGCCCCTTTCTTGCATCACTCCAACCTCAGCTTCCTGTGTCACATCCTCTACTTCTGCCTTTGACTTGCCTTCCTCTTAGAAGGACCCTTGTTCCATCAAATAATCCAGGATAATCCCTTCTCTCAAGGTCTCTAATCACAACTGCAAGGGCCCTTGAACCATGTAAGGTATCATATTTACAATTTCCAGGGATTTGGAGGATGTGGACAACTTTGGGGGACCGTTATTCTGTCTATCACACCTCCGAAAACAAACACCAGATCACCAAAGAACAGGAATGTTCACCAACGAGAGGGACTGTTTTGTAAGTCTAGGAATGGAGTTAGCCTAAACTCTCAGTTTTAAGAAAACTGAAAACTTTAGTAATTGCCATGAATGAACTGTGTCCCTCTAAATTCATCTGTTGAAGCCCTAATGCCCAATGTGGCTGTATTTGGAGATAGGGTCTTTAAGAAGTAATTAAGGTTAAATGAGGTCATAAGAGTGGGGTCCTGATCAAATAGCATTAGTGTCCTTATATGAAGAGACATCAGAGAGATTGCTTTTTCTCCACCATTTGAGGAAGGATACAGCAAGAAGGTGGCTGTCTGCAGGCCAGGAAGAGAGGCCTCACCTGAACCCAACCTTGATCTTGCACTCCCAGCCTCCAGAATTGTGAGAAAATTAATTTCTGTTGTTTACGCCATGCTGTGTATGGTATTTCATTACTGCAGCCTAAGCCAGGATAGTCATGGTCTGACAAAATGCTCCAAAGGGAAAAAAGGGCAAGAAAAGCAGGAGAATGCGACCTACCTCGAGCATTTCCTCTCTTTGCTTCAGGGCCTCCTTGACTTCCGCAAACTGAAATTGCAGTATACTGTGGGCGTGTTTTTCCCTTTCAAATTCCTGTAAAGGAGAAAAACAGCACTGAAGCAGTGGAATCCCATGTTTCTGGCATGCCAGTTCAGGTTCTCACGATTGACAGTTTCTGTGGAACAAGTCACCTGCTCCTAGGTCATCACAATCTTCAAGGTCTTTTATTTGGTTTTTTATTTATATATTTTTTTGAGACGGAGTCTCACTCTGTCACCCAGGCTGGAGTGCAGTGTTGCGATCTCAGCTCACTGCAAGCTCCACCTCCCAGGTTCAAGTGATTTTCCTGCCTCAGCCTCCCAAGTAGCTGGGATTACAGGCGCCCGCCCCCAGGCCTGGCAAATTTTTGTATTTTTGGTAGAGACAGGGTTTCACCATGTTGGTCAAACTGGTCTCAAACTCCTGACCTCAAGCGATCCACCTGCCCCAGCCTCCCAAACTGTTGGGATTACAGACATGAGCCACTGCGCCTGGACTTCACGGCCTTTGAAACAACACGAACAGATTCCTCTGGACTTTACAGATGATGCCTGATGACTTACTGTCAAATTAACCTGATGAGATGATACAATCAACAGGGGTTTCCTGATTTCTTATCTACAGTGAAGCAAGAGCCAAGGAAGGGCCCCCCCAGGGAGCCTGATGCCTTCCACAGCACTGCAAGGACTTACCATAAAATGGCCCCTGCTGAAATATGACAAGGAAGACTCTTTGGGATAAAAAGGAGATAAATATGACCTACTTAAGCATCTCTCATGAACATCTGGTGGCCAGCTCTGTGCTTCGGGGGGCTGCCCCTTAAGGGACAAAACAGGAGAGTTTGGGGGAGCAAGTGAAGAGCCTGCAAAACCTAGCTGCTCCTCAGGCCCCACCTCCCCTCCCGAGGCTCAGCCCAGGAAGCTGGCAGCTCGGCTCTGCTGTTTTCCTGCCCAGTCACAGCAGCGCCATCCCTGGTGATGGTCTGGGACCCAACTCACTTTGCTGAAAGCTTATAGGCCTGTAGGACGCCCCTTCCCTAGACCTGTCAGGCGGGTGATCTGAGATGGGATCTGGCCTGAGCTTCTGCTCACCCTAGCACTTCTGTTCACCCACTTCCTTTAGCTTGGGGGTGGCTGGTGCCCTCCTGGCTATGACAAGGGCCCTCCTGTGGGGCTTTGCATAGCCCCTGTGTCCATCTCGGGACAGCATTCTAGCACCATCCAACTTCTCTGGAGTGAGACTCGAGAGTTCTCGGTCCACTGAATGATGCCTAACGACAGCGTTGCAGGAGGAGTGCAAATGCATTACAGGCCCCCACCCGAGGGGGGCTGGGATGTGCTCTCCACTCCTCTGTTCCCACATGACATCAGTCTTGTGAAAAGCTTCTCCCCTCTTTCAGAGTTCAGCTATCAGGAACTCTGGGGTAAAATCTTCAGCTTCCAACTCAATTCTATGGCAGTCAAAGAAGCAGGCCTGAGGGTTATCAAGGGTACCTCGGTTTTAACCCTTCGGATTTAGAGGATATCAGCCAGTTAAAAACAACAACAACAACAACACACACATTACATTTTCTGTTTCTCTCAGAATCTCCGAAAAATTGGACAATTCCTAAAAATATGAAAAAAGTATTCCTTGCTTTCTATCTAAAGAACATCCGAGCCCAGCCTTCATGGAATCAGTCCGCTGTCATTACTTATCTTAACACGTGACTCATGCTTGAGACTCACGCTAGAAATTATATCTGATATCAGCTATCAACAAACTAGTTCCAGTGGTTCTTACTGAAAGCTCAAATAAGACTGTCTTTCTCTGAGCTTGATGATATATTTAATTCTTCAGTGGAGTAACTGTGTCTTTTCCCAATCAGCAGGAAATAATATAATTTTCTTAAAATCTTTGATACTCATAACTATTTCTCTATGGTGTTAAGAGAGAATAAAATAAAAATCAGAAAATATATATTAACAGGAAAATCCTGAGGCATCTGATCGCACCTTATTTGAGCATGGTGGCTCTTTCATAGGTATGTTTTTTCACAGTTTGATTTTAGCTTGCATGTTCTCCTAGAAAAACTGTCTCTAGTTTACATGTTGAAATTATACGTATCAATATTTCAAGTCACTTGGCAAAGAGTATGGTACTTTTATTCTCAGATGTTTGGATTTCCTGGATAACTGGAGAGCCATTGTTTAAAAATACAAAAATACATAATGTAAATTATACATCGTGATATGTACAGATACATAACACGAGTATTATCCGACACCCATCATAAAGAACCACACACACAGCACCCGACGACAGCACAGCAGCACACTACACGCACCACTCCCTTTGTTTTTTTTTTTTTTGAGACAGGGTTTCTCTGTTGCCCACAGCTGGAGGAAGTCGTGTCAACGACGAGCTCATCACAGCCTCAACTATCCAGATCAGAAAGTGCGCCTCCCAGGCTCAGCCTCCAGCAGCCTGCATACCGCAATGTGCACCCTGCCGCCGATTGTTTTAATTTTTTTAGAAATGATGTTTCCCATGTTGCCAGGTGGTCTGCGAAACGCTCTGGTGCTCAAAATCCTCCCGCCTTGGCCTCCCGAAGTACTGGGATTACGGGCATGGGCCACTGCATCCAGCCTATCCTAATATTCTGCATCATACTAATGCTTACTTTGTTTTTCTCTTCGTATTGCCGCCTAGATTCAGCCAGCTGTTCTTCAAGCTCCAGCAACATATCTTTTAGGGTATCAACCTGGTACATGAAGTTCGTCTTTTCATTGTCTAGCTGAGCATTGGAAACCATAGCCTTCTTGTATTTCTCTTCAACTTCTGCTAGAGAGTCCTGTGGAAAGCAGGTCATATTTTTGAAATTGCAATAAAAAAATCAAAACAAAGAATCACTCAGTATTCTGTTAAAAAAAAACCCTCAGTCCTAAACTTAGACTATATTTCTTAGAGCAAATGGATCAGAGGAAGAAACACATGGCAACTTCAAATGCACGGAAATTCCCCTTTTCAATTTGGTCACATTCTCATTGCTCAGAAAATTCGCTAGTAAAAGCAATGTACACACTCATTAGAACGAACGAGACACCAGTATGGACAGGGATGTTGTCACAGAGGCAGCAGAGTCTCTGGCTCCACTGAGTAGCTGGGGAATCCTCCCAGCATGGTGTCTTAGGGCTGGATGTCAGGCTGTGCAACAGATTTCTGAAGAATCACTAGAGGCGTGTGACCAGCCCCTGTGAAAGAGCCCGTGTGTGATGGCTGAGATAATTACTCAGGGCCACAAGCCACAGTGACCGCCAACCAGCCCTACTCTGGCTTATGAATCAGGAAAGGAGCAGTAGTGATTTCAGATTTTTGACCCATAGGAAAATGGCAGATCTCACTGGGCAGCTCCTGGAAAGACAAAGGTCATTCCCTTTGAAGGACGGTCCAGAGCAAGAGGCCTGTAAAATATGCCTGGTAATGCCCTCACTTGCCTCACACCCTTGCAGGTCCCCAACATGAGGAGGCTAAGGCGATTCCAGAACAGAGAGAGCAGAACCGTCAGGGCGCATACGTGCAGAGCTAAAGGCAGAGGCAGGAGCTGCCTGTTCAGGTGCAGCAGAGGCTACGAGGGGGCTGGAGGGACCAGTGCTGGTCTAGCTCTGCACCTCCACACCAGGACAGCTGTTTCAGGTGGGACCAGTGGGTCTCTGGTTGCTTCAGTGACTCCCCACCAGCTTTAATTTTTTTTTTTTTTTGAGACAGTGTCTCACTCTGTCACCCAGGCTGGAGTGCAGTGGCACAATCTCGGCTCACTGCAGCCTCCACCTCCCGGGTTCAAGTGATTCTCCTGACTCAGCCTCCCAAGTAGCTGGGATTACAGGTGTGCGCCACCACACCCAGCTAATTTTTATATTTTTAGTAGAAACGGGGTTTTGCCATATTGGCCAGGCTGGTCTCAAACTCCTGACCTCAGGTGATGCACCCGCCTCGGCCTCCCAAAGTGTGGAATTACAGGCATGAGCCCCTGCGCCTGGCCAAGGGGCTCCCTTTTTCGCATGAATTGAAAGCCAGAGTCTTATTTTTCCCCCTTTCAGGAAAGGTGACAGATATGAAGATAATGAAGTAGTTATGACTGATGTCACCTCCTCTGTCTGGTGCCCTTTGATATTAAATTCAGGCGATCTCTCAGGTACTTTCTAGGGGGCTGAAAAGGGAGTAACAGATTTGCCACCTACTTCCAGATCCACAATCTGCGCCTAATGAAGACAGTCACTGAGTGCTCACCTTACTGTCAAGGAACAGGGCAAACACATCTCCTGGCTGGTGCAATGAAGTCACTGCACACTCTAAAAGCAGTGTGCACATGCTCCAAGAAAGCCAATGCCACAGTCAGTCTTTACTTCAATTAGCAGCATTTTACAGGAGGACGCAAATAACTGGGATGTTTCAAAAGTGTGGCATGTGAGGATGGCCTTATTAGTAGACATCAGATACTTTGAGAAGCAAATCAACCTAAGCATTTTTGTATACAGCTACTACAAAAAGTGAAGAAAACCAAACCTTCTTCAAGTGTCTGGTACACGCCTATGGGAAATAAGAAACTGGTTTGAAGCCTTACAGAAGGATGGTGAGTACAAGACATGCGTCAGGGAGTATGTTAGTAACCTTTTCTACTGGGGAGTTACATTTTCAAGTCTTGGTTCAAACAATGCATTTGGGAAAATGGTGAGTGTACACCCATGCCGGCATTCCTGCCATTGTGAGTTCTTCTACAACCTGGAGCCTCTTTACAGTAAGCATGCACTTTGAATTTCTTCTTTAGGATTTTGTTTTTTTTAAGTGAAGTTGGGTTAATATGGTGAGACCACACTTCTGTGAATTGGTACCTTCATCTCTTTCAACCCCTGCATGTATTTGCCTTCTACATCCTGAATCTGGTCCTTTAACTCGTTGAGTTCCTGGGGGAAATGGCAGAAAAGGCAGATGATGTCAAGGGAAAACAGGTGACTCCCTAAATCTTTCATACTTCAGGGTACTTTCTACTTGGGTAGTCTGAGCACCCAATTTTCTTTTTTATTAAGTGTTAAAGGAAAATAAACTTCAATATTTAAAGATTAAAGTTCAAGTGTATCCCACATGATATTTTTACATGATTTTATGCAATCCTGGTGTATCTCATATGATTTTACACAGTTTAAAAAACAGGCAAAATAGAGCTTCTGAAAATGGTACAGGTTATTTCAACTCCTATTTAGTAATTCATTCAAGCACTTGGAGTTCCTACTCTGCAAGATACAGTGAGATTCTAGAGGCAGAAATCAGCAACACTTTTCCCCTGCATTTATGGAGCTCCAAGTCTCTACTTTGCCAAATTATTGATGCCTGGAACAGCACCTGGCATGAGCCAGCCTCTCAGTAAGTACCTGAACAAATGAACGGCATGCACAACCTAAGGACAGAGAAACATCAGGACTGCCACCAAGTCTGCTGCAGAAAGGGAAACAACAGGCCAGGCACAGTGGCTCACGCCTGGAATCCCAGCACTTTGGGAGGTTGAGGTGGGTGGATCACCTGAGGTCAGGAGTTCAAGACCAGCCTGGCTAACATGGCGAAACCCCATCTCCACTAAAAATACAAAAATTAGCCGGGTATGGTGGCAGGCGCCTGTAATCCCAGCTACTCAGGAGGCTGAGGCTGGAGAATCGCTTGAACCCAGGAAGTGGAGGTTTCAGTCAGCCGAGAGTGTGCCACTGTACTCCAGCCTAGACGACAACAGCGAAACTCTGTCTCAAAAAAAAAAAAAAAAGAAAAAGAAAAGAAAAGAAAAAGGAAAAAAATGGAAAGCAATGAGGAGCTGCAGGTGGCCCAGGGGTGGCACATGGGAAACGGCTCTTCTGGTTTTGTAAACTTATAAAACATAGGTGTTGGAAGCACCTTCAAGGTGACCCCGGCCAACCTCTGGTGGATGCTTAAATCCCTATCTGTCCTCCCTGGCAAATGGCCATGCAGCTGCTCAGACATCCCCAGTGGGAGCTGCTTCTCTTTTAAACTTAGTTTAAAGCACTAGAAAATTCAGAAACAGAGTCAATTCTGGCTCCTTTCAGCTGCTTCTGTCTTGGTTCTGCTCCCTGGAGGACACAGGTCTAGTCACCTCACCTTCCCTTCCAGTCTTCAGGTTTTCAGATGCACTGACCCTAGTTACTTTAACAAATAGCACCATGTTTCTCTCTAACACATGGAATGCTACCAAATGCCTGGCACTGTCCTGGGTGCTGAGGATAGAGCAGAGAATAATACCTGTACTACAGCGGGAGAGAAGAAATCATTAAAATACGAAGATGAGGTCTACTAAAGGCATATTACAAAGAGAAAGGAAAGGGCATGTTCTAGGCCGAAGGGGAACATACTTAGCGGGGAAGGTTGTGTGAAAGTAGGTAAAGCCGTCTGGTGTCCAAACATGTGGACTGAATGTCTACGCAGACCAAGCACACAGAGACAACAAGCACACAGAGACGACGAAGCGCATCAACACAACGTGCCTAGTGCTCTCACTAAGGTATGCCCTGGGTGCTGAGAGGCGCAGGGGGCCGGCACACAGCCCGCCCTGCTGGGGGGGTCAGTGAGTAGGATCCGATTCCTGCAGGAGACACTATGTGAGCTGGGTCTTGATGTTAGGAGAACATCATATTTTAGGGGAGGTGAGGGAGATAGGACCAAGAAGAAAGATCCAGAACTTTATGAATTAAGTTTTTTTTTTTTTTTAATCTAAAGACTGATTTTTACAAAAGGTTCTCTCAAGTCGTGAGTAAGAAGAGAGCATCTCACCTTGATTTCCCTGATGGACGCCTCGGTGTCGATGGAGATGGAGGTGTCTCCGCTGCCTCTCCGAGAGGAAGTCCCACCCAGAGAGGCCAGCGTGGCTGCAGACAGGCCTGGCATGTTACGAGACCCCTGGAACGTTAAGAGGATCAGATGCTGATATGGGTGTCCCCACCCAAATCTCATCTGGAATTACAATCCCCATAATCCCCACAGGGCGAGGGAGGGACCTGGTGGGAGGTGACTGGATCACGGGGGCAGTTTCCCCCATGCTGTTCTCACGATAGTGAGTGGGCTCTCAGGAGATCTGACGGTTTTGTAAGTGTTCGACAGTTCCTCCTGCAAATGTTCTCTCTCCTGTGGCCTTGTGAAGAAGGTGCCTGCTTCTCTTTTCACCATGATTGTAAGTTTCCTGAGGTCTCCCCAGCCATGCGGAACTGGGAGTCAATTAAAGCTCTTTTCTTTGTCAATTACCCAGTCTTAGGAAAGTTCTTTATGGCAGTGTGAGAACGGACTAACCCAGATGCGATTTTGGACAAAACCAAAACTGCATGTAAATCTAACATCACAGGACTGTTACTTTAATTCCATTTCCAAATTGGAAGCTCTTCATGGACTTATGCTAAGCTATAAGGAGAGGATCATTTCCAGGCACCTCCTGGATGCTCTGTGGTCAGCTGGATTAACCCTAAACTCCACGGTGGGGCCCATCATAAACGCCTCCTTGCTCTGCAGGGTCTAAGGCACACTGGACAGGACTCCCAGTGGCCTACCTACAGGGAGGTGATGCCAGGTTAGGTGGGCCGCTTTCTAGTCCATTCCCTCACTGGAGAACATCTTTATTAAAAAGACCAAGCAACATATTTTCTTATCAATTTCATCCACAACTTTCGGGACCCTCTAGGTTTATGAACGATTCCTTACCTTCTCAGTAAAATCTTTTTCTGGTCTGTCTTCTACCTGTAGAGGAAAATGGACAACATATTAAATACTTTAAAAGCGTTAAATGGATAACATGAAGATAGGAGCTAAGAATGATAAAAAAAAAAAAACCAAAACCCACAGACACCCAAAAACAAAACATTCGCTTCCTTCGTAATTTAGAAGCAGAAAAGTGGGATCCTCCAAATTTGGCTTTTCCCACTTCTCCTACTTGGATGTCTGTGAGGCCCCTTCTTCTCCTGTCCTTATTTGGACGTCCCTGAGGACCCTCTTCTCCTGTCCTCAGGTAGGAGTCTCACTGGGACCCACAGCAGGCTGTGGAACTACAAGAGGGGGTGCACATGAGGAATGGACCCTGGAGATGGCCCTGCACCATAAGGATGTCTCAGGACAAGAGGCAGAGGCTGGTAGTGGGGTTACTTCTTTCTTGGCTCAGGACCCAACAAAAGACAGGCTTATTTGTTTCTCTTTCTTTCTTTCTTTTTTTTTTTTTTTTTTGGGGCTCAGGGTGGGGAAGCGTTGTTTAAACAAATACTAATGACCTGGAGTGCTGCTTTTTTTTTTTTTTTTTTTCCCATATTGAATGTTCTTAACATAAACCCACTGGGAAGGTTACCAAGATTGAGTTTGTCTCCAAACTCTCTGGGAAAAGCTGTCAACTAATCATGGTTTCCCCCATCATGTCTTCAACCCAGCTTCCTGTAGCTCAGAACTTTTTCACTTTGGTTGTCAGAAAATCAGCCAAAGACATGCCCGGCAACTGCAGACCATAGGCTTGATTCAGCAGATCTGAGCGGTGACCTGGGACTCTGCAGTCACCCTTGTGAGCTCACACAGAGATAATTCAGAATGAAGCTTGAGAAATCCTGATGGAGAGCTGCCAAGGCCACGGCTCACCAACACTTGATCTGCACAGACGCTGGTGCCGGGGACCAGCAGCTCAGTACAGGGGTGCAGGTGCTATGGTCAGGGTGCCAGAGAGATGGTGACCTCCAAATGACCACTTTCCATCTATGGCCTGAGTCCACGCTGGACCAGATGCCCCTGCCCTCACCATCCGGCCCCACCAGGAAGGCTCACTAACTGCCCCCTTCCCTCCTGCAAACTTCTTGTACCTTCAACTTCTCCTCTAAGGACACCTGGAACAGCACTAAAACAACATAACCAGGAGCCACAGCTGGTCAGCCAGTTAAGGGATCAAATGGAATCCCACAAAATACTCGGTTAATCCAAGAGAAAGCAAAATCCAAGGCCAGCTCTTAGCTCAGGGTGGCCATGTTCAAGGGTCTCCTACTCAACAGATCCAAGCTAAACCCTGCGGCCTGGCTCCCAAAACCATCACACGGTCTCACCCACCCACCCTACACCCGGGTCTTCAAAAATAAACTTTCTACTCTCATTGAACCAGTCTCCTGTGTCCCAAGAGCAGGAGCGGAAATGGGGGCAGAGAGGCCATATCTTTCAGGCCAGTAGGATGCAGCCAGGGGCAGGCTGGCCTCTCTCCCCTTTGCTAAATAAGCCCTTTGGGCAGGGTGGTGGTGGGGTGGTCCCTCTGCCCACTTAGCCACAGCTGCTAAGGACCCACCCAAGGCCCTGTCTAAGACCATGTGTTCATGGGAGCTGTCCACAATCCCAGGGGCTTACAGCTCTCCTCCCTGATGTCCATTCTCACGCTGGGTGCGGCCCAGCTATATATACTGCAGTGAAGACGGCGCTCTCCAGCTGTGGCCCACACCACCTGCATTTGCTGACGTGTCAAAATGCACATCTAGAGTTATTTTTTCAGATGTGCATGCCACATCAGCCTAACTGTGTACTTGGAGGCACCAAGGCAGACTCTGATCAGATGGGCACCAAGGGAAACTCCGGTCAGATGAGTACCAAGGCAGACTCTGATCAGATGGGCACCAAGGGAAACTCCGGTCAGATGAGTACCAAGGCAGACTCTGATCAGACGGGTACCAAGGCAGACTCTGATCAGACGGGTACCAAGGCAGACTCTGATCAGACGGGTACCAAGGCAGACTCTGATCAGACAGGTACAAAGCAGACTCTGATCAGATGGGCACCAAGGCAGACTCCGATCAGATGGGCACCATCTCATCCAGCAGAGCCCCAGAAGCCCTGCAGCCATGTTCGGAGTTGTGAGGATGACTGGAGCAATTCAAGTGTGGTTCTTCTCTTCACATGGGAATACAAATATTCCTGAAATGTTTTTCAAATCAAAATTTCAAGGCCAGGCGCAGTGGCTCGTGTATGTAATCCCAGTACTTTGGGAGGCCGAGGCGGGCAGATCACTTGAGGTCAGGAGTTGGAGACCAAGGTGGCCAACATGGCGAAACCCCGCCTCTACTAAAATTACAAAAATTAGCTGGGTGTGGTGACATGTGCCTGTCATCCCAGCTACTCAGGAGGCTGAGGCAGGAGAATCTCTTGAACCCAGGAGGTGGAGGTTGCAGTGAGCTGAGATCATGCCACTGCAGTCCAGCCTGGGCGACAGAGTGTAACTCTGTCTCAAAAAAAATAACAAATAAAATAAAATAAATAAAATTTCAAATAACAAGGAAATGCGAACTATCTAGCACTTAGTTTCCTGGAGAATAAATTGATTAAATCTCCTGGGCCCAAAGCCTTTATTCCTTAGAATAAGTTAGTTTGCAGAACACATATTAATAAGACGAAAATAAACAGGCTAGTTTAACTCTTGGTGGGATAGGAAAGTCCAGTTTAATAGGCTGCCAAGTTACCACTGAAAAGCCTGCAGCATTTTGCTCCGCGGTGTAAAACGAGTGTTTCTGGCTGCTGGTCGGCAATGGATAAATATTGTGGAGAAATAAACGAAGCTCAAGGAGCGCATTCGTTTACCTACAAAGATATCTGTGCCCGTAAAAGAAGGGCCTACCCAAGTCTTTTTTTCTTTCTGGTATTTCTTGCAAGAAAGCTGAGAAAGAACAAACGGGGGTCTGTACACTTTGATTTTGGGAGGACACGGCTTTAACACATCTTTGTTCTGCATGGTTTTAATGATAACTGTCTACGTTTTTACAATTTGTAAAGTATCAAATAAGGGGAAAAAACCCCAAAAACCATAGTTTGCTGTTTCTATCATTTTAAAAAAGTCCTTGCTCCGAAGAACGTGACGGACTCAAAATAAAATCTGGGCATATTTTTAAGTAGAGACCATGCAGAGAAAAATTAAAAATTAAGCTCTTGATGAAAGGCGATGGCAATGAACATTTAACCTATCTCTGTTTTACACAGTAGAGTAAATTTCATTTTGTGTGTCTTCCGAATGAAAAAGGAATTTGTCAGCTTTCCCGAAACACAGGAAGACTGTTCAGCCCCGTGGAAAGCCACGCAGCCCCACTCGCGTCCACCAGATGGCGGTGTGTCGCAGCTGCAGGGGCCAGGCTCGGACAGAAGCTGCAGGCAGCGGAGCCCACCTTAAGAAGCCCACTTTCCTAAGCCCCAGCAGAGCCAGGTAAGGAATCAGGTGTTGTGTTTCATCTTGACATAAAGCACAGCACCTCCTCCCTAAAATGACTAAGAAATCTAAGACAGGACAGGATTTTAAACACTGTCACAGCCACTGCACGGCATGGTGTGGGGACCTGGAGGAGGTGGGCATGGTGCAGAGAAGGGTTCAGAGGACACGGTGGCTGCAGGCGGTCCAGGCTGCTCTGCTCACCCACCCTAGCCCAGGACAGGAAAGCACCGGACCCTGCAGACAGTGGCCTCCTGCACGGGAAGGGCAGCAGCGCCGCACACATTGCAGCCTGTTAGCTTCGTGACTCGCGTATTCTGAGTGATACTAAACATTTCAGGTCAGGGTGAAAACTTCACACTAACAGGTTTATAAAGTATGTGTGTCATATTTTATAGTCACAGCTGTATACAAAGACATCACTGAAAATCGGGAAACAGTCACTTCTAAAACACATCTGTGGAAGTTTAGTTTACGTCAATTTTCCTTTCAAAAACAAACGCTTCAAGGAGCACATTAAATATTTTATTAATTCCAAACTTCTAATATTGTGTCTAAAGGAGTTTACTATCTAGACTCCTGTACACACGATGCCTGGTGAGGCTAAAATGCCAAGTTTTCCATGTTCCAGCTGCCTGTCCATTTTCCTAGAGAAAGAATATGTGGCACCTGTTCACGTACCCAGAGAGACCCTACTCAAGGGCCCAGGTACAAAAAGAACCTGTCCCCAGTGTCCAGCCAGGCAACACCAGACTTGGGTGGAAAAAGGGATCACCGAAGCAACATCCTTGTGAGGACCCTCTTGAGACACAAACTAATAGCAAACACTGCTCAGAAAACACTGATTTTAAGGGTAAATTTCTTTCACATTTAAATGATAGCACAGTCCATCATTAGGGTGACAGTTTTTGGTTATAAATCCAATAATATGTACTTTAGCCTGAATGACTTATCTTTGAACTCTGGTGTTTATAATTCAAGACCTGTTTTTCCACCTGGTCCCTGCCCCTGCCTCTCTGTGCAACAAAAAACATGAGTCAAAATAGTGTTGTTTTTCTAGTTCAAACGGGCAGAGATCTGAGTTCATTGCTCCTGTTTTCTCTGAGTACACAAGGGAAGATATCGACCCGGGCTCCCCTCGGGACATTACTGATGGATGTTTCAGAAACGTGGTGGCTTCGCCAGGTTCCCAGTGGGATTGTGGGGCCTGGATGACCCAGACCTGTTGGCTTCACCAGGTGGAGTCACTCTGCTTGGGTATGGCCCAAGCCTGGGCCGTCAAACCTCCGGATTCCAGCTCTCTGCAGGCACCTTTGCCTCCCCTCACACCCCCGCTGCTGGGCTTCACACCATGTGTGATCACCCGATGAGCTTCCTATCTGCCCTCTGTCTATGCATCCCATGAGGGCGGGGGCAAGTCTGCATTTCTCATAAAACGGCCCTGTTTCTGGAACATTCTAGGTGCTCAATAAACACTCAGTGAATGAGTGAAACACAACTTCCTCAAGGAGAAGATCCTGGCCATGCTGGAGAGGAAGAAAACACAGTTCATCCACAGCATCTCATCAGGGGACGAAGATGAGAATGAGGTGAACAGTATTCTACGTCTGTCTTGACATGGGGCCGATGCCCTCTCTGCTTTCCCAAGGACCCTGGGAGGACCAAGCGGGTGGAGAAGACTTTAGGTCTTGACCCTGGTGGTGGTCTCTGGACACTGAAGCATTTTCATTTTCTCAAAGTGGGACAGGCAGTCACTTCCTTCTTTCTGGTTACTACTGCCCTTTAATAGCACTGCCCTCCCTCCACCCCTCGGGGGGCACCAGCCCTCCCTCACCTCTAACGGGCGTGACATGCTCACCTGTGCACCTGTGTCTCCCAAACCCAGGGCGGGACTTCCTACAGAGCCTACAGGGCTGACCCTGTCTGACTTCACATTTTTCTTGTCTTCTGTCCTCACTCATACTGGCCCTGGATACATGTTCCTGATGAAGTCACCGGCCTGGGAGCATTTCCCATGAGCCCTCGCTACAACAACCGTATCCCATCCCTGGCTAACCCCAGCCAAGGAGAAATAAAGTAACCGTGTGTGTGTGTGTGTGTGTGTGTTTTTTTTCCTTTGTTTTTTTGTTTTTACTTTTTGAGGGAATCATGACCCCTCTTTCCAGGGGAGGCACAAGAAGTTTACATGGCCAGCTAGATGTCCCAAACCAGGAATGAGAGCTGCGACATTTGAACCTGAGTTCTGAAACTCCCTGCCTCAGAGCACTGCCTGCTCCATGTGACCCCAAGGAAGGCCAGACTGGAGGGCCATTCACCTTTGCCACCACGCTTACTCCAGGCCCTGCCCAAGACCTGCTGCTCGTGCCTCCCAGGTAGAAGGACCAGGGAGTCCCATCCAGGCCCTCCTGGCTTCTTCCCATTAACAAGGCCAAATACACCCACTAGCATTTTCTGTTGTCCCAGGAGATCCAAAATATACCAGCAATGGTGTTAATGTCCCAAGACGGAAAACAGAAATGGAGCCGGTTCAGTCTAAGAGGACCACGAGTTTTAGAAATTATGGAAATGAGCTAGCTTAGTTCTGTCTCCCAGGCTCTCTTCAGATACCAGGGATGCCGCCTGTACTCACCGTTCTTCTATCCTCCACACGATCAATCAAGGGATACCATAACCACATCCCCTAGGGAACTGCCCTGCACTCTACAGACACCCCTCTGCATTCTAAGAACCACATACAGGAGGTGTCATCAGATGTGGGGTCCCCAACCGACATAAGGCACCCAGGATGAGGAAGGGGACAGCCCCGTCCCTCACTGCAGGACTGACCTTTGTTCCCTAAGCGTGTCAACCGCCCCACAATCAACTGACCTTTGTTAGTTGAGCAATTGATTCAGGGAAGGAAGAGCAGATATAAGGAGATCACCCACCCCCATCAGGTCCCAGGACACCCAGGAAGGCTGAACCCACATCTCTCTGTTTATGATCATCTACTATACCTGTGAGTAAATTTTCTGCAAATTTAGAAAACACATGACCAAGAAATTTGTATCATTTCAATCTCTTCAGTCAGTTGCATATGACAAAGAAATTTGCGTCATTTGAATCTCTAAGTGGCTATATTGAGCCCTGCTATTTTATGACCTCATCATATGATTGAATAAAGACAATGCTTAACAAAATCCAACTGTCATGTCTCACTGGAACCAGGCAGAAGGTACGGAGGGCAGTGGAACCAGGCGGAGGGTATGGAGGGCATTAAGGGTGTTTGGGATTCACTGAAAGTAAAGCCACAACATTCTTCTGTCAATTGTAAATACTTATATATTTTTTTGCTTTTCCTTTTTTTTGAGATGGAGCCTTGCCTTGTCACCCAGGCTGGAGTGCAGTGGTGTGATCTTGGCTCACTGCAACCTCTGCCTCTTTTGTTCAAGTGATTCTCCTGCCTCAGCCTCCCAAGTAGCTGGAATTACAGGCATGCGCCACTACGCCTGGCTAATTTTTGTATTTTTAGTAGAGACGAGGTTTCACCATGTTAGCCAGGATGGTCTCGATCTCCTGACCTCGTGATCCGCCTGCCTCGGCCTCCCAAAGTGCTGGGATTACAGGCGTGAGCCACCGCGCCTGGCAATATTTATATTTTCTTTTCTGAAAAGTGAGTGTGAGAAGACAAAGCAATTCTACATTAGATTTATTATGGAAAATGTTTCTTCCTGGTAGTTTTAAGTGATCACGTAAGTTAGCCTAGGTTTATTGCTCTACTATAGAGCATGAGATAATACAGAGATCCCAACTTAAAGGAAGACACAGCCGTGGGGGCTGGCCAGGCTTACTGAGTCTGTGATCTGAAATGTCTTAGTTCACAACCATTTACTTTCGGTTACTTGAGTAACAGCATCAAGACCAACTTGTCAGGTTTGAAAATGGGAAATCGTGTCATAACGAACAGCTGAGGATCTTCCTGTTATTGCCTGATGCACTCTGGGGAGAGACTTACTGGGGGGCGGTGTGCCCCTGGAGTTTGCACGGTAGCTGCTGCCTCGCACTCCCTGCACACATTTGCCTTCTCTCACTGCTGACTGCTGGACTCTGGGATGGGGAGGGGTGGAACACAAACTCAAATGCCTGTGAGGCCAGCTGGGCAGAGCCAAATGCGTGACAAGATTGGATGTCTGCAACTTATACAGAGGGGAGAGTCCTCCCCCAGAGAAACAGGCACTGCTGTTGTAATGCCCGCCCCTCTTGAACTCTGTTTTCCTGCTCTCCACGGCTGGACGGAGGAAACATTCCTCTAGTACAGGAAAGCCATGCTGCACAGTGATGAACGGCACCTGGGCCGTGGCCTCGGGGTCATGAAAATAGTGGGTGGCGTGGAGGCTGCGCAGTTCTGCACCATAGCCTCAGAGTCAGTGGCCAGAGACCCTGGGTTTTCTTCCCCCAAAGAAGCTGATACTTGCATTTGCTGATACCTGAATGCAGGTATCAGGTGCGAGGTAGGAAACCTCACAGTTCTAAAATACTGCATCTAATTTAAAACACAAATCACCAGCACCATAACAGGAAAAGCCCGCCAAACAAGGTACATCTGCGCAAGCGGAGGTCTCAGCGCTGCGACTTCTTGGTTGATTACTAGGAACGTTACGAAATTATAGGGATCAGCATGCTGAAGTATGGTGTTCAGTAAGTCACTTAAGAGCCACATTTTAATTGCTCTTTGGCTGGGACAAGTTTTTGTTTTTGTTTTCTAGAGACAGGGTCTCACTCTGTTGTCCAGGCTGAAATGCAGTGGCACAATCATAGCTCATTGCAATCTCGAACTCCTGGGCTCAAGCGATTCTCCCACCTCAGCCTCCTGAGTAGCTGTGACTACCGGTGCGTGCCTCCACACCTGGCTAACTTTTTTCTTATTACTGTTTAGAGATGGGGAGATCGTCCTATGTTGGCCAAGCTGATCTCCAACTCCTGGCTTCAAGAAATCCTCCTGCCTCAGCCTCCCATGTCACTGGGATTGCAGGTGTGAGCCACCACACCCAGCTCAGGCTGGAAATTTCGATATGGGTGGAAACGAACAGAGAAGCCTTGCCCATCTTTGCTTTTTCTCCCCAAGGTTTCCCACTGGCTCTTGAGGGTGGGAACCCTGGTCGGGTTGTGCAGCCTGAAGCCCCTTCCCTGGCCACATGCCCACCTCCCCTCCTCCATTCCCACACCCCCCAGGCCAAAACTGTCCTGGAGCGCCTTCCCTGGCCACAAGCCCACCTCCCCTCCTCCATTCCCACACCCCCCAGGCCAAAACTGTCCTGCAAACTCTTCCTTTAAAAAGAGTGATAGCGTCACCTTCGAGTATCAGATCAGGTAAAACCGTATCTAAAATTCCAACAACCCAGGGAAAAACACATTAATAATGAGACTTCACGAGCTGGAGATGACCTAACAGGGCTCCTATTTTCCGAAACAAAATCTGGGCCATGCTGAGTGACAAACAGGATGCAGGGCTGTAAATCCACACATTTCGAAGGATCTGAGAACCAGCAGGGTAACGAATGACTGGGGCAGAACTGGGAGCGTCCCGGCATCTACAGGTCACGCTTTACCTTAAACACTGTCTGGGTTTGATCACAGGTAACATTTCAAGCAAAACATTAGGAGTCAATACTTCAAAATTTTAATCATAAAAAGAAAACCACACATCCGTGCACATGGCTATATTATTTTCTCCCTTTGTGTAAAGTTTCCCTCCTCTAAGATCCCCATCTCTAAGCACTGCTAACAATTTCATGGTCCTTGAAAAGTTGAGCAATGTAATCCTAATAATATCACCGCAGAGTAATATTCTAAATTTGGAGACGTTGGAAGAGGAGGGTAAAGGGAAGCGGGAGGGAGGATGACGCTGAGTAGGAGCAAGGCCAGGAGGCCAACTTACCACAGGGCTGGCCCGGGCCGAGCTGGCCCTGGAGGAGGCGCGGGAGCTGGAGTTGAGGTGGCCGCTGTACTCCGAGGGCTGCCCACACAGCCGCCGTCAGGACACGCAGCCAGAAAGAAAGGAACAGGGTCAGCAAAGGAGCAAGGAGAACAGAGGCCGACAGAAAACATGCTGCGTGAGTGGTGGAGGTTAGCCACGCACGGCAAGGAAAGGAGAGTTAGGGTTAGACAGCAAACGCATATTCAAATCAGTGCTCGCTAATTAAAAAAAAAAAAAATCACATTATCAGAGGAACACAGAATTTCTCAGAGTTAGGAAGAAGAAAATAACACAAAGCATCCATTCGGTTGGGTGTGCAGTTGCACCCAGTAGAGACACAGAAAGTCACCTCGTGGATGTGGAAATGACTGTTTTGAGAACTTAAGCTGCCCTCCGGCACAGAAACTGAAGACTCGGACAGGGTGCTTGGCGCCTTAGCAAGGGAACATTTTTGCTTCTCCACTATCTTTCCAAGTGGAAGCAAAATGAGATTTAGGGTTAATACAAAATTACGTATGGCTTTTTAAATTGCCAGATTACCTTCTACCTGAGTGGTTGCTATGTACGTATCTGTCTATCCATTTATCTGAACTTTCTCACTTCTGGTGAAGGAAAATACCAGCAACTCCATTATCTGGAAGCCACGCCCTTGTAACTTTGATTTATAGTCACATCTGCTGGTCTTAGGTACATTTTCACGTTCTTATAAACATTCTCATATTCTTCTCGAGCAAGGCATGGAGGGGCGGGGGCAGGATTTGAACACTATTTAGGTCCCGACACATCCTGAGGAGACCTTCAAGACAGACCCACGCAGCACCCTACAGCGAGCCCCGCCACTGCTGAAGTCCCCTCCACTCCAGCCCCTGGACACCCTGCACTGTGCCGGGCACAGACCCCTCTGCTGGCCTCACTGGCTCTGCTGGGGACCTGCAGGGAGTGCCCTGCTTGCGAATTGTAAGGAAGCCCAGATCTTCAGGGGTGCCCATGATCTCATCTCAAATACCATCTTTTAGTTTGTTTCCTCACCAGGGCTAGTGACCAGATGAGGCCTGGCAAACTCAAGAAACACTTGTTGAATGAACGAATGATTTCAACTGTAGACTAAAATAACCATCAAATGTCAATTGAAAGCATTAAATGTTGCACAGGGCTGTGGTCAAGACGGGCAAGTTCCCCAGACCCATCCACCTCTATTTTATTTGATACATGTTTACTATATACTTACACTTAGGTGCAAGGTGTTGCTTAAGATACACAGATAATAGTGCTGTGTTCACACCACATGTACAGCATCGATGCCATATTCGAGATATTCAAGAAAATCGCCAGTATTCCTAGACTCACTTTTTGGCTTTCTTGTTGAAAATAAAGGAAAACACTTAATGTCAGCACTTTAAAGCAGAAGAATTTTGCCTGAGGGTTTCCTGATATGAGAGAGGACAACTTCATCCTGCAGCAAATCCTTCACCATTCTATGTCATTCACGCCCTGGGTTATGGTGCAAAGACACAGTGAACTGTTGTGAATAGAGCTGACTGCCCACCCAAGCTTCCCTAAGCAAAAGCAGTTCTCAAACCTTCCAACTCGACCTAATCATGCAAAAAAGAACAAATTAAAAGTCTTTTATCGCCGTGGTCCACGTGCATCTTATGCTTAGGAGTTACGTGGCTACCGTGCAGCTAATGCAAGTCAGAAAGCTTTAAGTCTGAATCACAGCTCCATCTCTTCTTGGCCACGTGGCTGTGGAAGTTCCTTAGCCCGTCATCTGTGACATGGAAGTAAGGACGTGGGCCACACGGAGGAGCTGAGGACTAGGAAGTGACATGGAAGTAAGGACGTGGGCCACACGGAGGAGCTGAGGACTAGGAAGTGACATGGAAGTAAGGACGTGGGTCACGCGGAGGAGCTGAGGACTAGGAAGTGACATGGAAGTAAGGACGTGGGCCACGCGGAGGAGCTGAGGACTAGGAAGTGACATGGAAGGACGTGGGTCACGCGGAGGAGCTGAGGACTAGGAAGTGACATGGAAGTAAGGACGTGGGCCACGCGGAGGAGCTGAGGACTAGGAAGTGACATGGAAGTAAGGACGTGGGCCACGCGGAGGAGCTGAGGACTAGGAAGTGACATGGAAGTAAGGACGTGGGCCACGCGGAGGAGCTGAGGACTAGGAAACGGGGTACATGTTGGGCTTCTTCTGTTTCCATTTTCTGCCAGAAACAACCTCCTCGGCTCCTGGATCAGATGAGGCCGCTGGTGATGACTATGTCCCAGCTTTGTCACAACACTGAAGAGAGTCACTTCATACTCAGGAGCTGCACAGGGGCAATTCCTGGTCCTCCAGGGGCAGGGCAAGTCCTCCAGAGTAGGACCAGGGCTGCCTGTGCAAGCCTGGGGGCAGCCTGGACCCTGAGGTCATGACCACTTGGGGCTGGGACCTCAGGCCTGGGCGCCGGGGCCACTCTGGACACCATCCTGGGCCGCAACCTCCCTACACGCTGGACTGAGAGCAGGGGTGGCTCTCTCCCAAGGCCCTCCTGTAAACATAAGGAATGGAGGATCCACTTGGAGGGGAACTGTGAGGGTTCCAGGGAAAAGATGGGAGAGGTTGGGAGGTCAGGAACTTCCTTGCCCCTTCCCTCTTCCTCACGATGCTAATTCGCTACCCAAGCAGAGCCGATCATCCCTATTTTAGGCAGTTGTGCTGCCAGGACAAGATGACCTTCTGTTTTCTTAACTCTCTAAGGCCATCACTCCCAGGCAACTCTTGTGGGGGCTAAGAGCACAGAAATCACTGCTCGCCGAAGAGCAATAAGGGCCAAGGACCTAGGGCTGACGACTCACTAGGGCTGGTGACGCAGTAGCATCTAGAGAGCATCAGGAGCCCTCTGTCCTGCCAGATCTTCGAGTCCCTACTTACGACACCAGAAAACCAGCTGGTGCCTGGGGGAAATTTCTCTTGAATTAGTATGCTCCCTCTTTTCCGATAAAAGAAAATCATTTAGTTGTGCTTTATCCATCACATCACAGGCAGGGCTATTTCATTCTTCACGCATGGTTTATGAGCTTTCTAATGGCCTATGAAAATGTTTACCAACTGGGAAACATATGTTGTATAGTGCGCTGCAAAATACTGAACAACTTATGCAATATAAAAATTGATAAATGTGTAATCAGTTGTCGACAAAAACGAATGCTATGTCAACTACTGGATTTAACATTCATAAATTACATTTTAAAGAAAACTGTAGGTTAGACTGGCTTACATCGTAAGAATTCATGAATATTCATGATGGCTGGACCAAATGGCACAGTAAGTCATAGAACTGGATTTAGCCAAGTAAGTAGCTGATTAACTTCAAAAGCAAAATTATAAAAGCATTTCAAGTATTTCTTAGTAAATAATTCTATTTCCTGGAAGCTTGAAGCCATTTTTATAGGATTGGGGAGGAGCCTCTGAATACAGGTGCATCCACCGCCAGGGAGCACCGATTAGCACTGAAGGCTCCCTTTCCACGGGTCCCTGGGACATGCAAATTCGTCTCCCCACTTCCACAGATTCCATCTCATTTTTCTACCTTGTTGCTTCTCTCATTCATTCATTCACAAATGTTTATTGTGCATCTACTACATTTTTACTCTCATAGCTGAGCCTATCATTTCAAATCGAAGAAAGAGACAGACAACAAAATAAAAACAGGGAATGAAATATTTGTAACAGTCCAACTTTTAAAATTTGTTCCTCTTCCTCAACTCAAAATGATGTGTGGCCTGCCAAATTGCCCTTTTTCTGTTTGTATTAGTTTAAGATGATTTCACGACCTGTTAGTATTGTTGGCGTGCTGCAAAGAGAGCAGATGAAACTCAGTGCAAGTGAGTCTCCCTAATGAGTGAGGACATGAAACCAACAACCAGAGGTTTCCCAATTCACATGATTCATGAACTTCATTATAATGGAAGGTGGTGGTGAGCCCAGTGACTCGGTGCTTCCTCCTGAGGATGGCCAGTCACCCCCCCTGCCCAGCGAGCATCCCCAGGTCATGCAGCAGGCAGGGGGGAAAGGCGGTATCACCCAAAGCGCCTTACAGCACGGGAGCCACTGGTGCTGCCCCGTCGGGCCCCACCGAAGCTGCCTTCATCCAACACAGATGCCTGCGACCAAAAGAGACTGTCAGGATGGGCACTCTTCCTTTCTCCGAGTGCCCAGAAAGTACTGAAAACGTAAGCTGTGAAAAACTGACACGTGCCAGGAGCATGACCTGAAAAGCATGCAGGGGAGGCTCAGAACCGCCTTTCCAGCTCTTCAAAGGGTTGCAGAGTGCGACAAGGAAACCTGGAGAGACGGGTTTTAGTCGCTGTCAAGCGGCGTGCAATTTAATCTCCAACAGACCATTTAAATCCATTATTTTGAAAAACATCCCAGGCCTAAGTAAAAATTTGTTAATCCGGGTTAAAATGAGCAGATAATTCTCACATCCTGAATTCTGTCATGGCATTCTCATACTTAATGCTTAGAAAATTACTTTTATGTGAAGTGACTTTGGGATAAAATATAAAATAATGTTAATTACAGTTTTAATGTTAAATATTTTATAACCCTTTAAAAGTTGCTAAGCAGAAGAAAGAGTAACTGGTTAACTGGAAAATGCTACTTAATTAATCAATGTGGGTAAACAGGAACTGACACTGCCACAAATGGTGATGTCAAACTGTGCCCGGTGTAAAGGAACTTTAATTTCCCTATTTTCCCCTGAGGACATACTAGTTTGCTCAGTCATTTATTAATATATCTAACACGTAAGTATGCAATCTGATGGAAATTCAGAAAGTTATTAATGGCTGGGTGCAGTGGCTGACACTTGTAATCCTAGCACTTTGGGAGGCCGAGGCAGGCAGATCAACTGAGGTCGGGAGTTTGAGACCAGCCTGGCCAACATGGTTAAACCCACCTCTACTAAAAATACAAAAATTAACCGGGCGTGGTGGCACGTGCCTATAATCCCAGTTACCTGGGAGGCTGAGGCAGGAGACTCACTTGAACCCGGGAGGTGGAGGCTGCACTGAGCCTAGATCATGCCATTGCACTCCAGCCTGGGTGACAGAGGGAGACTCTGTCTCAAAAAAAAAAAAAAAAAAAAAAGCTATTAAGACAATATAGGTACTTTGAGTATTTATTTACATTTTCTGCATAGCATAAGTACTTATATTTAAAACTGGAAATTGCCAAAGTAATAGAGTAACATGGATTAGTATCTGTCCAGGTTACCAAAGCATTAAAAAGCCACCATTCTTTCCGCCAATAGGTAAAGTAAACATTGCTGTTGTTCCGTTCCTAACAATCCCAGCGAACCAAGGCTTCCTGGAGACGGAGCAGTGTGGCAGCTGCAGTCAGCAATCGGGGGAGAGAAAACCCAGATCCGGCCAAAGGGGACAGACATTCCCCACAGGCACATGTAAACTCCACCTGAAGGTGCAACTTCCCCCAGGGGGCTGGAAACAGGCACATCCACAGCTCTGGGCTTGGTGGGGGCGGTGCATGCACAGTGTGAGTGGGTGCAGAGAAGCAGGGCGGGCAGCACACGCACCCGGTAACTTCCCGAAGGCCGGGCAGCGCTGTACAGACAGGAGGGCTGGAGGATGAAAGCAAATGGCAGGTTTTAAAAGCCTTGAAAAAACAGCAACAAATGACAGTGAAAGGCACGATAGTTTCAAATGACACGATAGTTTCAGAATTCACCACAGCCAACTGCTGGACAGTGGTTAGATGGAAACAAACCGATCAAGGCACTGTGTTTTCTGTAAACTTAATAGATGCAAATCCAAAATTTACAAGAAAGATAAATGAGATGATTTTTAACTTTGAAACAGTAAATTTCCCAGCATCTTTAAAAACAAGATCATTTCTAGTCATCTCAGGCATTCCTGGAAGAAAGAGTCAGGGCGATGAGACAGAATGGTGACAAGGTCAACACACTGACAGCAACAACACCCACAGCTCAAATCCAAGGTTAACGACACACTTGGCAGTATGCAGTACGCAGATGTCCAACATGTGAAGACAGGAGCAGGGAAAGTCTTTATTTCTATGCGAGGGGCCCAGTGACCGTCTTCAAGACACAAAGGGAGTCACTGCAAGGCTGCCTCAGCCGGTGTGGGAGGCACCCCCAGAGGGGTCACAGTCTATCCCTGTCAAAGGAGAATCCTGCCTAGCACACACGTCAGGGGGAGGCAGTGCTGGTGAGGGGACAGGCTGGGACACAAAGGCAGCTCCAGTGTCAGAGACTGTGCCACAGGACAGAATCCAGACTCATTTCCAGGGCACACTGAGCAAGTCAGGCAAGGTGCACAGCCAGGTGGTGATCACTCAGCAGCTCCGGTTGACATGCAAGGGAGAGGAAAGTTCAGCCTCCAAATAGGATGTGTACTTTCATCCCTGACACCGACTTCCTTGGATTAGAATGAGACTCGATACCTATAGCTAACAGGCCGAGCACCTCAGGGCCGGACCTAAACTCCACCTTGTAAAAACAGGAAACAGAGGGGAGACCGAGCCAAAGAAATAACACTGTTCTGTCCACTTCTCAGAGACCAAGGAGGCAGATTATGCACAAAAACCTTCCAAATTGCTTCCTGGACACATTTACAAGAGAAAAAATATTAAAAAAAAAAAACAAATGAAAGCCCAAATGGGGAACAATTGCTGGAAAAGGAGGAGAGACCCAAGAGACCAATTTTTTGGACTCGAGTTTTTGAAAATACGCATTTAATAAAACCCTCCTTTTCCTTAAGTCTCCTTTTCTATATTAGGTTCTCAACTATTTGACAAGCATTTTTCTAAAAGATCGACAAAAGTCTTAGCAAACTAGTCAAGCCAATTAAAACAGTTGCTAAGCTTTGCTCTTGTGACTTTGTGTAGGAGGCTGAAGTATCCACTAAATGTAATCAGCAATTAAAGTGATGCACAGAAGGAAAGGGAAGGAGCGACAAAGTGATGTAAAAAGGAGACAGACCCAGTTTCCATTTGGGGCAGAGAGGGGTGTGGGAGCCAAGCCACCGCCGCGAAGCCCAAGGTTGGTGCGGGAGAGTCCCTGTAATCAGAGCAAATGGGCAGCAGAGAGGGGAGAGAGGCTCACACCCCTCACGGCATTGCAAAGGTGCATCAGTCCAGCGACCTTATACAATCAAAACAGTAACGGCATGCACTCACGGGGGAGGGAGAGAATGCGGGTCGGAAGGAAATAAAGACAGCTGGGCCAGGCAACTGACAAAACTAGGAGATTGGGCCAAATTAGGACTTCTGAGTTTATACACGGAAAAAAAGATTTAATTCATATTAAATAATGAAATAAATTTTAACTGATGTTAGGAAGAGTCATCAATACTACATTCTATGCTGATACCTTTCCATTATCATATTTAAATAAAATTGAATGTACCACCTACTGGGCAGGAATAGGTGTCTACAGAGCGCAATTCCCAGAAAAGTTCTGAGGGCCGGTGGGGCGGGTGAACCCAAGAGCCCTCAGGCAGCAAATGATGGGCACCCAGGGCTCAGGGCGAGTTCTGATGCGGCCCTGTTCGAATGAGTCGGCCCTGTTCGAATGAGTCGGCCCTGTTCGAATGAGTCGGCTCTCATTCTGACGTTTAACCCTTTGGATGTGGGTTATTTCTCTTAAATGGATTGAAGTGAGTCAGATGCAGGCTGAACTTGGGTGAATCGTTCATATCCAAGGATGAGATATTTATTGCCATCTTTATTTTAGAGCAAGTAACTCAGCTTATCAAAAATGAGTTGGAAATAAAGTTTTCTTAATGACTAAGTGCCTTGAAAAAGGCTTTGGGCATTTTCTTAATTCAAGGGGAGATTTTGCTGTTGCAGAGAGCACTTAGTTATTAAATCTGATTTCAGTGGGGGAGCTGCTCCTGCGGTCACCAGGTCCACAGAATGGCCCCAACAGCACCCTGGGCTCAGTCACGTGGCTCCTCTCCTGGGTTCTCACCATTCTGCACAGCCTCCGCTCTGCTCAAATGGCTACTCACCTTGAAGAGCTTCCCCTCTAGGCTCTGCCTGGTTAGTTCCTATTCTTTTCATTTGATCGATCGATCTATCTATCTATCTATCTATCTATCGATCTATCGATCGATCGATCTATCTATCTATCTATCTATCTATCTTATTTGTTTGTTTGTTTGTTTGTTTGAGATGGAGTCTCGCTCTGTTGCCCAGGCTGGAGTGCAGTAGTGCAATCTCGGCTCACTGCAACCTCTGCTTCCTGGGTTCAAGCGATTCTCCTGCCTCAGCCTCCTGAGTAATTGGGACTACAGGCACGTGCCACCATGCCCAGCTAATTTTTTGTATCTTTAGTACAGATGGGGTTTAACTGTGTTAGCCAGGATGGTCTTGATCTCCTGACCTCATGGTCTGCCCGCCTGGGCCTCCCGAAGTGCTAGGATTACAGGCGTGAGCCACCACACTCGGCTCTTCCTATTTATCAAGGTTCAGTTCACATCCTTTGTTGTGACATTTCCTGGCAAAACCAGAGTTTCCCTCTCATTCTATTTACTCATCTGTTCACTACTGTACAGGTCTCCGGTGCCAGTGGCTTCTGTTCTAGATGTCAGTGCCTGGAGAGCACCCACCTCCCCCGCTTATCTTTGTGATGATCCCAGGCCTGCTCGATTTTCCTACCTAAACTAGTCCCAATTTACTGAGTAAATCTGAACCTAAACAAACACCAACAAGCCTCAGCAATTTTAGGGCTCTTAAACAATGTAGAAATTATGTTTATCAAGACTGATGCATGTTTGTAGAGAATGGGAAGGAACTGTTGTGTAAACATGTGGATTTGGATGAGACTCTGGATTTTCCTTCCAAGTCGAGTCCCTACCCAAGAAACCACCAAAAGGTTTGCATGTTCTCTTCAAAGTAGATCTGTTTTCAGAAACTCAAGAATTCAAGAGCATTCTTCTTATTTTTTTTCCTTTTGATTAATTCTAATTAGAAAACATACACAAAAACACGTCCTTTCATTGCAGCCAGCTGAATGCCACAATTCACATTCGAGCTGGCGTGGTCAAACGCAGCACACTGGAGTGCATCTGAATGAAGGAGCTCATGTTAACTACTGCTTTTCACGTCAATAACGCAGCTACCCAAACAAAAATCCGTCACACAGACACTGAAAGAGAAAAGTAGAGCTGAATCCACACACACAAGATTGCATGCTACAAAACCTGCGGTTTCTGAAGGGAGGATGTGAAAGATTTAAATGGAAACCAACCAACTTCTCCTCCCTGGATGATGACAAAGTAGAGAATCTGCTGTCACCGCTGTAGCTGGAATTCTGAGCACCAAAGAAGAAAACATGTTTCAGTGACAAGCACTTCCTTATGACTCCAAAGCGCCCCCATCCCATTCAAAAGGCGAACATGAAACCGCACAACCGAGCCAATACTAGGAGCCCAGGAATGCTGCTAGTTTACCTAAAGACGCGAGGCACAAACAGTACAGCAGAGATTCTGAACAACTAGAGATTCTAAGCTATATTTTCTATTTCACTGTTTATGTCTTGGTGACGCCAGGGGTGTATCTACTACTGCTTTTCACAATCTCACATCTTCTAGCACAATTCGTAATTACTGTGTGATTACTGTGTTTCACACTGTGTTGTCAGACTCCTAGTCTGAATTATCCTTGTTACTTATCTCCTTAGGTAACTAAAATTCCATTTATTGCAAAATTTTCAATCTTTCTTCAGCCCAGCCCACCTGCAGGCTATAGCTCAGCCCTGCGGTGCCAGAAAGGTGGGTGGAGTATGACAGCCTGCTGCCACCCGTCCACTGGAGAGCCCTTACCCACAAAGGGAAAATGTCCTGCAGGCCGTCTTTACATGTCTTGAGTATACATTTTAAAAATGTCACATCCAGCCGGGTGCAGTGGCTCATGCCTGTAATCCCAGCACTTTGGGAGGCCGAGGTGGGTGATCACCTGAGGTCAGGAGTTCGAGACCAGCCTGGCCAGCAGGGTGAAACCCGGTCTCTACTAAAAAATACAAAAAAATGAGCTGGGCGTGGGAGTGGGTGCCTGTAATCCAAGCTACTTGGGAGGATGAGGCAGGAGAATCGCTTGAACCCGGGAGGCAGAGATTGCAATGAGCTGAGATCACACCATTGCACTCCAGCCTGGGTGACAGAGCAAGACTCTGTCTCAAAAAATAAATAAATATTAAAGTGCATGCAATGCCAAATAGGTAAATAGGAATGATAAAATAAAAACAACTTGATCAGCTGGCTTCAGAAAGCTAAAGACTGGTTTGGTCAGGGAGAGGGAAGAAGGTAAGGGTGGGTCACTCATTTGAAGCCCGAAAGTATAATTTAAGTGTATACATGATATCTTAATATAACATAATTAAGATAAATGAAAAGAAATATTATTTTACACAATTAGGAATATTACTAAAAGAAAAAAAAATGAAGCATAAGAACAGGAAATTTTTAGGCCATTTAACATGGAATGGACCTGTGGGATATTGTGAAGCTTGATGGAAATGTATCCAGTGCAACCTTTTAAAATCCCCAATGACCTCCTGTCCTTGATAATCCAAAGCCCTCCCCACCCCTGTCCGGCCTCCCTAATGCCCCTGCCACTGGCACCACTCCCTCTCTCTCCCCCTAGAGCATCACCCTTTCCTTCCACCAGCTCTTCCTGCCTCCCACCCCTTAACTGGGAGCCTTCCAAGCATCTGCATTGTTTTCTTCTCCTTTTCCTCTCCAGAAAAACACAGGTTCTTGTACACATGCCTTTAAGGCAAACATTAAAATTACAAGTGACAGATGTGGAGACTGCAAAAATGTTGGATTTAATATCTTTGAAAGCTGAATACACTTAATACACACATTATATACATACACCCAGGGGAATACAGTAATGAAAGAGCTAATCTTTAATTTCAGATCTTTTTAAACTTGAGGTTCTTATCAATATCTACCCCTTATACTAACAATCAGAATGGTGGAGGGCTAACATTCTCAGAATGTTTGCTAGTTGAAAAACATTATCTTTCATTCCATCATGTGCTAGGAAAAAAAAGACAGACCCATTTTAACATTTAAAAACAGCAAAGAAGCTAAATTTAAATTTAGCAATTAGTTTTTAGTTCTAGAAGCTTTGAAACAACCTATTTGAATTTTGAGCCATGCAAATTTACTATACTAACCCTGCCAGATCTTCTATTCAGGGACTGTGATCCATACAATTCTCCATCATAACCATTTGTCTGTTTCAATGAAGAAAAGAGAAAAACTGACATCAGTACACAAATGAATTCACAGGTACAAATCAGCAGGGACGAACCAGCCAGGTATAAGGTGAGCTTACTTGGTGGAGTGGGTGAATGACCAGCCCAGGACTGTACAAGTCCTAGCAGCTCCCAAACTGCATCCCTGCCCCCATCCACTCCCCCACAGCTCAGGAGAGAACAGCAGTCAAGCTAACCAAGTCAGTAGGCTTCCCGTCGCATGTCACTCTTAGTCTTAAAGCAGCACCAAGTCCCTCTGCGGGGTGGAACATTTGGGCTTGGCGTGGCGTGTTTCCTTGTCAGGCTCTGTTTCTGGTTTTATGGTGGCGCTGTGGACATTCTGCTAGCAAGTCGCCACATGCCAGGCCGATGGGTAGTGATTCGGTCTGAGTCAATGAGTTTTCAGTTCCTGGTTCAGGGAGGGTCTCTGAAAATTGTGGCACATTGTGATGCTATGGGCCATAATTCAGAAGATTCAGAAATCATTTCTTTTTTTCTGAGATGGACTCTCACTCTGTCGCCCAGGCTGGAGTGCAGTAGCACGATCTTGGCTTACTGCAATCTCCGTCTCCCTGGTTCAAGCGATTCTCCTGCCTCAGCCTCCTGAGTAGCTGGGATTACAGGCGTGCGTCACCACGCTCGGCTAATTTTTGTATTTTTAGTAGAGAAGTGGTTTCATCATGTTGGTCAGGCTGGTCTCGAACTCCTGACCTCATCATCTGCCCGCCTTGGCCTCCCAAAGTGCTGGGATTACAGGTGTGAGCCACCGCGCCCAGACTCAGAAATTATTTCTAGTCAATCTACAGTGAAATGCAAAAGTTCATCGTGGGGTATAGCCTCTACACTAGTTTTTCATTCATCCAGCCCTCCCACTTTATTTTTCTAAATGAAATCTGAACACATATTTAATACTTTCATAATGTGTCCTCCAGAATAAAGGAGAATGATTCTATTAAGTGGATGCCTATCATCCCTCTCTTCTCAGTTCCCAGCCCAGGTTCCCTTAAGTCAAAGCAAGGGCTTTCTAAACATCCCTTAATTCATCCATAAGGAAATTTCTGCCGATTCAAAATAAGAACTGTCAAACATCAGAGACAAAACCAGCTCTCGGGACAGAAAAAGGAGGAGCAGTCTACACAACTGGTAAAAATGGAAGGAGACGCCATCAGGTTCTGGGCATGAGGCCAAATTCCAGACAGAAGTTTGTCATGTGACCTTAAGTAATTATTTAATCCACTCGAACATCTGCTTTCTCAGCCGTGAAAATGTGCATAATAATAAATACATTACAAAGCCATCGTGAGGATTAAACGAGATGAAAATGAGTATCTCAAGCACCTAGAACAGTGCTCTCATGAAGCATGTGCTGACTGGGTGGATACCTGAATATACATGGAAGGGGCCCGGCACGTGGGAGGTGCTGAACGTGGTTCCTTATTCAGGGGATGGGTGCTGCATAGCACATGTTTTCCAGCCATGACATTAAAGTAGAAAAAAAAAATTGAATTTCCAAACAGATTGTAAATCCAGATTCATGAAACTTTGACTATCAAACTATATATTTATCTTTGCTATTAACTCAAAACAAATCAAGAAATCAATTTGAAGTTTTGAAACAAAACAAGTGTAGAAATCCTTCCACATTAAATTTGAGAACTCTATGAGTAACATTAAAACATTTCTGAAATAAATTTAATAGTAAAAATCTTTGGAGGTTGGCAAGAGTTTTACTCAGACTAATTTCCTCTCATGTCTTCAGCAACAAGATTATTTGACATGAAATGCAAGGACTTGCAAATTGTAGATCTCAATCCCTTGTTCTCTCTTCAGAAACTAGATTCCAAAAGAAATTAATATAACAATGAAGGCTAACGTTAATCAACTTTAGATGACTTTGACTTTACTAATAAATGAGGAAATGTATGACATAAGCAAGGTCTCTGGCTCTCCACTGCTGCTTATGAAACACACAGCGCTGCTTATGAAACACACAGCGCTGCAGAGGAACCCTGCCCTTTGCACTGCAGTTCTCCAGCTCAGCCTGCAGCGATGGAGCAGAAGGTGGGCAAGCCGGAAGCATGACAGTATCCTCTCGTTTGTCACCTTTCCACTTACAGGCTTCCACGAAAACCCGGGAAAAACTGTTACTTTGCAGGAAAGCCTGCAAAGCAGTTTCCATGACCACGTCTGTGGTAATGGAATTCTATCATAAGGAATCTATTCCTGGGCTATATTCCTTGAATGTATTCCCAAATCTATAGGATCTTGTTAACTACATCTCCATAGGGAGAAGAACTTTGACCTTCTTAAAGAACACTGCTAACTTGCTCCTCTTGGATGGTGTTTTTTGGGCTGTATTTAGATGGGTGGGGCTATTTTTACGTGGCGTAAAAGGGCAAGGGGCATTGACAGTTAACTGAACAATATTAGAACAAAAAGTCCACAGTCAGCACATTAACTTCATCTTAAGTTGGGTCTCTGATGTTCAACAAGCTTTGCTCTATTGTACTGTGTGGCTTTAAGTGGTACATAAGCTTGTTCACTTTGCTGGTTCCATGCTCCAAGACTGGGTCTCAGAGGGGAGTGCGCAGACCACCTGCTTCCTGGTCACCTGGCATGCTTCTCACAAGCAAGGGCCCCTGCCTAGGGAATCAGGATACTTAGAGAAAGGGCTCAGGAACATGCATTCTAACAAGCTCTCCAGAAACACTGCCATAAGAGAGAACAAAATAAAGAGGACACACATAAGTTAGTATTTTCTAATACAGAATAAATAAGATACAAGGGTAAATGCCCTATGAAAACGGTAACTTGTGACTAGTCCGAATGCTAATGACTACCACGCAGTGTTATCAAAGTGTCTGTCACCTTCCCATTGGACCATGCAAAAGTCCCCTGCCAACTTTTTGGATTAATAATATTAGATGTCTTTTCTACACGAGTCAAAAGACAGAGCACATATAAAGGGCATTAGAGATGGAAAACAAACAAGGAAGGCAACGTCAAAACTCTTGAGTTCGATCCCTGATGGATTCTATTGAATATTCAAAAAGAACACCGAAAAAGAAATCCAAAATGTGTTCCTGACCATTGCTAACACATACATTTATCCCACTGGGGGTTAGCTCTTAAATAAAATTAACTTTGAATTTAACATAAAAAGAGTAATAATCTAGATTTATGTTGCTAATACATTGAATTCCTTAAAGAACAGGAGAGTTGCTGGAGGTACAGTGTCCCGGAAATGCTCTCACCTGCCAGAGTGACTTGAAGTGCTCTGTAGGTAACAGATACTCTGTGAAGAGCACTTTCTGAATCTAATGACCTGTCTTTGTGCTTTCCCCTGTCCTGACCCCCAAGCTACTCACTCCAGCCTGCATCTGTTAAGAGCAGAATAGACGCCCCACAGGAGGCTCACGGCACCAAATATGCTATGCAGATGTATGTTACAATTTATTCATTATAATTGCAAACACAAAAATATATATATATTTTTTTTTTTTGAGAAGAAGTCTTGCCTAGAGTGCAGTGGCACAATCTTGGCTCATTGCAAGCTCCGCCTCCCGGGTTCAAGCCGTTCTCCTAACTCAGCCTCCTGAGTAGCTGGGAGTACAGGCGCCCACCACCATGCCTAGCTAATTTTTTTTGTATTTTTAGTAGAGACGGCGTTTCACCGTGTTAGCCAGGATGCTCTCGATCTCCTAACTTTGTGATCTGCCCACCTCGGCCTCCCAAAGTGCTGGGATTACAGACGTGAGCCACCGCACCTGGCCAAAAATACATTTTTAAAACAGGAATTTACTAAATAATTTTGAAATGCACTGGAACAAATGAAGCACAAAATGCTTTTAGGTAAAGTCCTTCAGGTGAAATAGTACATAATACGCTATAACAACTTTAGTATCAAATCACTTTAATGCTGAGCTGTGCTTTCTGGGGAGAACTTTTTCTTCCTTGAAGTACAACACTGACAGACTTTTAGAAAGCATAAGGCACAGAAACTGTCAGACACATATAAGAAGAAGTAATTCTGAGTTTAAGTCTAACACCTTAGTTTTTGTTACTGGAAGTGGGAGCTTTCTCAAAGAATATTTCCTGGCAAAAAAGTCAGATTGTACATTTAATTTGAATGGATATAGATTGGAAAATAATGGATTTTTCATTAGGTAAAATGACTTTACATTTAATCTTTTAAAGGAAATTTAGAGGCTTTGGGAATTCTTGATCTGATTTGAATTCCTTGAAGGCAGACACTATCTTTTTCATCTTGGTATACACAGCTGCTAACACAAGGCATGGCAAACAGCTGGTGCTCAAAGGCCATCTGGTGAGGGAGTGTTCATGCACAGATGCCTGGGCTCCTCCCCTCCGGCAGGATCAGGGCTGCACCCTGGAGGCCCCAGGAGGAAGACTGCTCACTCCGCAGGGTAAGCCTGCCCTCCTGGCCTCACAGCCCCCCAGGCAAAAACTGGAGACAAAGATGTACTTGGTTTTTTAGAAAAGCACCCATGAGATTCGTGGAAATAGCATAGGTTATTATATGTCACACCACACAGTTAAGGTCACACAGCAAAGTACATCCGACCATCTCACCCAGGCGTAGGGACCCCCATACTCCAAGTCAGGCTGCGACTGTCAGGAGAAAGATAGCAGAAAAAAAACAACAACAGAAAAGAGAGTTGCCAAAAGTAAATTTAAAAGCTAAGTAAAACATAAATACAAGCAATCTTTAAAATCTTAACAAAAATACATTTTTCCATAATCTCTAGGATCTAATACGTACTTACAAAAAGAATTATGTCAGAATGGTAGCTACCATAGAATCCAGTAGTATTAAATAAACTTCCATGGAAAAGGTTGCCATAATTCAGGAAGTCTGAAACAGTTTGATAAATCTTATTTCCTCTTCTGCATAATCCATTTTAGTTACATAAGGGAAAAAGTTATCAGATGCATTGTCGTCAGTTTTTCAAAAAGGAAAATTAAAAATCTAGATTTTTCCAGAAAATCTAAAATCTAGAAATTCTAGAAAATCCGAAATCTAGATTTTCTGAGGAGGCATCCATACAAATGCCAGAATAGTATAAATCACCTCCCCACCTTTTTTAGGGTTTATCATCTTTTCTAGTTAAATGAAGAAGGCCTGTGTTTTCAGAGTCAATAAACAAAAGATACGATCTTAGAATCAACAATGTAAAAAGTTCATAATATTAAAATACATAAAAACAGTAGAAACTGACCCTGCATAGAAATAGAGCGAGATGAGAGTCCTCACTCTGGGGAGTGCCCTGCTCGGTGGTACAAAGGGGCAAGCATAGAGCCCAGGGCACCCAGCACATGGAGGGCACGTAGGCCACCAGGCCTCTGAGCAGCAGGCATTGGCCTTGTTCCTAAGAACTGTGACCCCAAGCAGGCCTCTCACCACTCTGGGCTTGTTTGGTGCCTATAGACATTAGGAAGTTTGACTCTCATCTCCAGGATCCAAGTTCTTAAGTTCTGAGGAATCTATTTCTTTAGATCAAGTACATGATGGGAAAGTGTCATGTGACTGAAAATGAAAATCCCATCCACTTCCTCCCCATCTTATGTACTGTCCTAATGATGAATCTCCCATAGGAAATTTGAGCTCTGAAAACAAATATACTTGATATCTTGGCAAAGAGTGGTATCCAGCAGAAAGATGTAACTTATTTCTGGTTAAAAATCATTGAAAATGAAATGAATGCTGTTACATAACACCATCATACTCGTTCATATTGCAATTGTTTTCAACTCTTTGGGGCCAGGAGACCCTCTGAGAATCTTAAGAAAGTGAACATACTTTTCCCAGGAAAATGTAAGTGCATACCTCTTGCCTATAATTTCAGGAGGGTGTGGCTCTGAAAATGATGCATTTTGAGAGAGAGTCTGGGATTCTGTGTCTCTCTCCTCCTATTCTCTCTTGAACGCATATTAACCAGGCTTTGCCCTCAACATTTCTGTTAAAAGTTCTCCTGCCAAAGTCACCGACATCCTCTACGCTGCTAAGTCTGAGTTTTCTCCTCTCTTGGTCACTCTCCCTCATCCTTGAAACAGCATTTTCTTCACTGGTTTCAAGGACTCAAGCTTCTCCTGGGCCTGCTCAACAGCTATGATGTCTGGACCTTGTCTACAGACTTTGTTAACTGAGCTTTGTTTTATTATTTATGAACCCAAAATTTATTACATTTTGGGTTCATAAATCTTCCCTCTTCCTGGGTGAGTGGTGTCAGAGGGTCCTGAGGTTAACAGTTACAACGGCATCCCTGAGGCTACATCTCAGGAGAAGGTTTTAAGCAGCAAGGAAGCCCTCAAGTGGGCCTCACATTTGAACCACAGCTTTTTGGCAAAATCACTACGGATCTGCTTCTGGCACTGCAAGGACAGTGACAAGGGAAGAGTTGCTTCACAGCGCAGCAACCGTGTTTCACCTCTGCATTTTATCATTACAAACGGCCAAATTACACACACACTCAGCACATGTAAAAGTCAAGAGTAATAGGATTTACTTGTCACAGTGAAGTAAAACAAGCCTTCAGCTCTATGGGGTCCCTAAGGATTAATAAAACGGAGTGGCTGCTTTGAGACTTATTTATTACTAGTGGTGAGATATAATTTCAATCCTGTGGTAAAAGAAACTGACATGCTCAGATTAATCCACTGACTTAAAGCACTGGGCAAAATATAGTTTTTCTGCTTTACTTCCCCCAAAACTCATACTTTTTTCAAGTGTAATTATTAAGGTTTCTGGAATGTTTAAGGAAAAGTCCATATTTGTGTTGATTGACCATTAAGCCTATCAGAGGTGAAGAGATCTAATTATAACTGATAAAGGAAAAGCGGCTGAAGGCAGATCTTACGGATCCAGTCCTGGTGCAGGTTTTCAGCAGGCTGTCTATAGCAGCTGTGTGAAAACACTGCTCAATAATAATTAACTTACAGCTACTTTAATAGAGGCTCCGATTTTACCAGAAGCATGTGTGTCAGTGGATACAGACTTACTGAAGGGCAGATGTGCCTTTGCATTCCTGTGGAACACCAATGTGCTGAGACCACTGTGCTAATCAAGGCTTGGGAGCTTTGTGATGTGGATAAGTATTGAAAAAAAGACAACTTCATCTCGGGAGAAAGAAACAACCAACGTGCCTATGCATATTAATAATCTCTCTACAGCAACAAAGAAACATCCCCCACTGATTTGATTTTAAGTAAAGCATCTCATCAGTTAAGTATTGACTATCAGACCACGGGGATAATGGAGAAGAAATCAGAATGCAGGGATGAGAAAGTAAAGGGCTTGGACCAGGAACTGTGCCATGCAAACTCCATCATTCTGGTTACTGACCCTCAGGCTTCCACGACTACCCACTGACAAGCGCTCGTCTTCATCAGAAGCCTATTAAAAGAAAGGACGAGAACAACTGTGAAGTAATCATACAACATATGTGAAGAACCAGTGCCCAAGTCTTAGGGGGACGCTGGGAACTGACCCCACTCCCAGCAGTGGGGGGGTCAGCTGCCCCTGGACATCTCAGTGGACACCAGTCTAGGTCCCCCACAACATGGCCTTTGTGGATCTCTGTCTGCTTATGGGCAATACGGATTTAAAGTAATTTCAGGGCCATGTGCGGTGGCTCACGCCTGTAATCCCAGCACTTTGGGAGGCCAAGGCGGGCAGATCACTTGAGGTCAGGAGTTTGAGACCAGCCTGGCCAACATGGCGAAACCCTGTCTCTACTAAAAATACAAAAATTAGCTGGATGTCATGGTACATGCCTGTAATCCCAGGTACTCAGGAGGCTGAGGCATGAGAATCACTTGAACTCACAAGGCAGAGGTTGCAGTGAGCCAAGATTGTGCCGCTACACTCCAGCCTGTGCAACAGAGCAAGACTCTGTCTCAAAAAAAAAAAAAGTAATTTCAGGGCCAGGCACGGTGGCTCATGCCTGTAATCCCAACACTTTGGGAGGCTGAGGTGGGCAGATCACTTGAGCCCAGGAGTTCGAGACCAGATTGGGCAACATGGGAAAACTCCATCTCTACCAAAAATACAAAAATTAGTTGGGTGTGGTGGCGTGTGCCTGTAATCCCGCTACTTGGGAGGCTGAGACATGAGAATCATTGAATCTGGAAGGTCGAGGTCGTAGTGAGCCAAAATTGCACCACTGTACTCTAGCCTGGGTGACAGAGCGAGACTCTGTTTCAAAAAAAAAAAAAAAGTAATTTCATCCAAGTAGTTTATCTCACCGGTAATATAAATACACAGCATTGGTGTATATTACTATGCAAATTATTTATGGGTATTCAGTGGCACAAAAAGCACTACAGTTGTTACGAATATATTAATACTCAAAAATTTCTCAAACACACTCTCCTTACCAAATTTAGGTCAAAATGCTAAAAGCTGAGTTCACAGTCTTTATTTAGGTAATAATATCAGTATTCCATCATCAATAGTGTTAGTTAATTTCTTTAAGAGATGATATCATCATTAAGATATTATATATATTATATATACTTCAGCCACTACAAGTATAAATTAGAATTCAATCAAATTGCCTAAGTAATTAATGAATACGGTACTAACCGATGTGTTTCTTCTGGATCTACGAGAGTAGCGCTCACTGTCTTCCTACCAAAATAATGGAGGAAACAGTATGAAAAGGTTAGAGACAGATGGACACAGGAAAAGTGCTTTAAAAAAGCTTAGGTAGTCCCATTGCAACATAATACAGCAGTTCTGATCTAAATGTCAAATAAATATTTTCTCCTTCTTCGTTTAAAGGCTTCAATTAAACCAGTGGGTAAAAACGTTTTTTTCTGGGGTGAGAGGTTCTTAAGCACAAAAATAATTGGGATACCTCATTTTTGTTGTAAAAACAGTGTTTGGGGCAGAAGCTGGGCCTTAATTTTTTCTAACCTCTATCATCTGGTCCATTTAAATCAATCTACTTTTCCCCTTACTTTCAGAACCTTACTCTCTTCAGGAATCAGAAGATAAATCATTTCCACAAAATATCCGAAAAGGATGTCACTCTTTCTACTATATATCGTGGATTCTAAGACACATGTGGTTTTTCACACTTAGACATCTCTGAAGCTGGGATGTATCTTATAATCCAAGTTGTTCAGTTATAATTAGCATTTTTTTCTTTCTCAGTGGTATATAAAACAACGATACAACTTCAAAGAATGTCTTAAGATTTTTTAAATTTTTCTTTTCTTTTTTTCTCTTTCTTATATCACCATGCCTGTGGACAAAAATGTCTTAAGGTTTAACAAAAATATATTTATCTCATGTAAGCCTAAAATGATGGTTTGCCTAGGCTGAATGTAATCATATTTCCGATAGAGTAAGTGTGTGCTCTTTATATTTGAAGAGATAACCTCTTTTATACCCAGTATGTAAGATGTTAGGAGATAATTTTGGATTTTCCTCAGATAATTTTATGTATAAGAAACATTTAATAGGACATTTCTATCCTAACCAGGTTCTCAAATGCTACAAGCATGTGATGAAGTCCACGGGGCCAGGCAATAAAGCAAAAGGGACAGGAAGAGGTAGAAGGACTCAAGTAGATGAACTAACGAGAAGGGCCAGGCCATGCTCTCTCGGGACCAGTGGAAAGCACACAGATTATCCCCCTTCTGCAGCCTCCCTATGTGGGTGCTGCTGCTTCCTGAGAAAGCCAGAAAGACAGGAATATCATCGGGGCGAGCTAGCTCTCCATTCACAGGATGGCAGAGGGGCTGTTCTAGGAAGCAGGTTGAGAAGGTAAAGGAATTTTCTTACCAAAGACCAGTGGTTTCAGCAGGCACAGCGGACAAGATGAAGAGAGAACCCAACAGCAAATGCAGATAAAGTCTAAATGAGGGTGATGGGGCAGCTGGTCGCAATCATGAGTGAAGGAAATGGAGCATAATATACCTCTCAGGTTCCAACCAGAGCCTGGTGAGCTGCGATGCCAATGGGAATGTTCTCTGGAAAGTTCTCAAGCCAGGGGCGCATGCCCAGCCTGAGCCCTGGTGGAGGGCCCTGTGCTCAAGGAGATCAGGGTGGCTGTGGTAGTGGAGACCTCCCCAAACCGCTGGCCAGGAGACATCAGCAGTCAGTGGCTACTGAACAGGCAAGACCAGGACTGTTTCTAAGCAGGCTGCATTTGGGGATGTAAACAATCAGAGACCAGATGCAGAAATCCCCGGAAGAAAATCTCTCAGTATTAAATTATGGTGCAATAGGAATCAATCTACATAGTTAAACTACGTAAGAATTACATTATAAACCATTTAAGTCTCAACATTGTATTTAAGTGGGGAGGGAAGAGTAAAAACAAAATTATATTCAAGGCCTACCATCCACTGCTCGATGTCACCCCATTTTGTATCCAGCCCATAATATTTCTATAGACAGAAGGGGAAAAAATTAGGCAAGAAGTGAAATTTCTTAAAAAGGCAGTTGTCTAAGGCACTGTTCCGACATGCATTTCCAAACCGCCGTCCAGCCGCGTGGTGAAGGTAACACGCCAAGGCAAAGCAGTCAGCAACACACTTGGCTTCTACACAGGGAGCCGCCACCCGTGCAGTCATGCAGGCTGTGAGCTGTGAAGAGAGATCCTCCCCGCCCATTCCATCCCGGCAAAGCAAGAGAGCCCAGGACGAAGCTTCCCCCCACGAAGGGCCTCGGCGGAGAGCAAGACAGTAAAGCCGGCCCAGCAGCCTTCACGCCCCCTCGGTCAGGCTGCTCATGCCTTCAAAGCAAACACGATGAAGGAATAAAACACCATCTAAGAGAAGCAGAAGCTCAGAGCCATTCTTGTGTTGGGACCTCAGGGAAACTGAGAGAAGAAGGGGAGAAACTGTGTGCTGACACTCGTTCTAGCTGCCTGATGTCTATGCTGAGTCTAGGCCCATGAGAATTCAGACTTTGATGTCTTTGTAGCATGGATGGAGAGATGACTGCCACCCACAGAAGAGGTCTTTGTACAGAAGAAAAATATGCAGACCCACAAGTTACATATGTCTGGAGATGACGTTAGCTCAGAGGTGTCCAATCTTTTGGCTTCCCTGGACCACACTGAAAGAAGATTCTTGGGCTACACATAAAATACACTAACGATAGCTGATGAGCTAAAAAAAAAATTTGCAAAAAAAATTTCATAATATTTTTAAAAAGTTTACGAATTTGTGTTCAGCTGCACTCACAGCCGTCTTGGGCCGCATGTGGTCCGCGGGTTGGACAAGTTGGCTTTAGTTTATACTTCCATGTTTTTATCTTGTTCAGTGGTCCAAGTTAAAATGAGAAAAGCAGACTCAGAACAGCTACTGCTGTCACTGAATTGGGGAATCCCAAAGGTAGGTGGGAACCCAGGTCATGGGCCCAAATAATGGGGTTTTGCTTTTCTGCTTTTTATTTAATTTCCAGTAGGAAAATCAAGAAACAACTAACCAAACTTCCATATTATAACACAGATGCGAATTTTCTCTTTATACATTAAAATCTGATAATCAAGAGAAAAAATCAGACGCTAGACATACAAGACCATTTTTGAAATTATTTTACAATAACCAAAACATGCTGTTGCTATGTTTGGTTTAGTTTCATTTCAAAGTGTGGTCAGATTTAAAAATATGCAGTTCTCAGATGGTCTTACCTCTTTCTCTTAGAGATGATGGTAAGTAGAAAATTGGAAGAGCAAAAATTAGGAGGGAGAATTTAAAATGCTTTTAAAAATTCAGTAATACTGAACTCTACTATAAAAAGGACATGAACCATATCTTTTTCTGTAAGTTATTCCCTTGGAATATAAATTCAGAAAGGAAATAAAAGCAAATATATCCTAAAGTCATGTCTTAACTTCAGTGTCAGGGAAATGCATCAGCTTAAAGCTATTTTGCATTCAATTAATGTTAGCACCTGTCAAGTTCCAGATTTTTCACAAGTAAAATATGATGCCATCGCTCCTCCCTATCTTGGCTCAACTAGAAAGAGGGAAGCAAAATATGTTTTTAGAAGGATGAGGGCTATATAAATTCACAATAAAATTATTTAAATTCCAAAAGAAATCTGTATTGTCAGTTTTTCTGTTTTCATAGATTTCTTTTTGCCCATTATATCTGCACACTCTATCTCGCTCTTTTCATGATGAAGAACCGGTATTGAAAATCATTCACTTTGTTCATGGGTGGTCTTTTTTTTTTTTTATTGAGAGGGAGTCTCGCTCTGTCGCCCAGGCTGGAGTGCAGTGGCGCAATCTCGGCTCACTGCAAGCTCCACCACCTGGGTTCACGCCATTCTCCTGCCTCAGCCTTCTGAGTAGCTGGGACTACAGGTGCCCGCCATAACGCCGGGCTAATTTTTTTTTTTTTTTTTTTTTTTTTTAGTAGAGACGGGGTTTCACCGTATTAGCCAGGGTGGTCTCGATCTCCTGACCTCGTGATCCGCCCGCCTCGGCCTCCCAAAGTGCTGGGATTACAGGCGTGAGCCACCGCGCCCGGCCAGGGTGGTCTTCTAAGTGTCTACTGTAACTGCATTTCATGTCATTCCTGGGCAGAGAAGGCCCCTAGTAACAGCAAGTGCAATTAACTAGTAGTTCCTGGGTTAGCCAGCAGCACTAGCACATGGCAGGAAGGGCAAACATTTCAAGTGTCAATCACTACCATGAGCCGGAAGCCATGCGGAGGGAAGCAGGAGCCGCACTACTTTCAGAAATAGCTTTGATCCCAGAGAAACTGTTCCGCAAAGCAGTTGGCTGGGCCGGAGGAGCAATCGCCGCCTCCTCTCCTCCCCAGACATCTCAGCGATGAGGAAAGCCTTCCCTTCCCTGGGCACACCTTTACCACAAGACTGTGCCTCTGCTCCTCCACTGCGGATTTCCGGGGCTCCTTCTAGCTTTACATTCTACACAAATTCATTCTGACAAAAGTTTTCACAATGTATCCCTGGCACGTTAGTGAAAAGAAACTAACGTGACCTAGCAAAAGAAAGGCATGAATGCGAGTGGAAACGACCAGACAGAGCCCCTCCTTCCAGGTTCTGGATGACAGCGTCCTGCTGTCAGTCACAGGCAGGGCTCCCCGCCTGGCCTTGCACCTGTCCAGTTCTTCCCGAGGCTCTCTGAGGACGACGAGGAACGCCAGCTGCAATATCCACTTCTACACTTGGGCCCTGGAAACACTAGCCAAGCACAAGAGATTCTGGCATCTACTTAACAAATTTCTTTGCACTCTTCGGGACAGCAGCTATGCAGAGTGCAGGGCGCCCGCGGGGAAGGCGATTCGTTCTGATGGCCAGCACAGGAATCCAACACAACAGGTCTTAAATTTACCGCCCGTGCATTCCGAGGGCCTGTGTGCTCTAACCTCCGAAATTAAGTGATCTTATTCTGATTTTCTCATCCGCTCTAAGAGAAAAATACAGTTGTTGTTCATCTAGAAACTAAATAAATTTATAAAAGGGAACTATCACAGATGTTGTAAGTATCAAACTAAATTCATTTATGGGAAAGATTACCTTGTATACAAATTCTATAAATTCTCAAGGAACTCGCTCACTTCTGACTTCATTTTTGCTAGATCTTGAATCACTGACTTGGTTGTCTTTATTTTCTGTGTCCGGCCTGCCCAGTGTATTTACTTCTGAACCTCAGCTGCTTCTACAAAATATTAGGAAACAGAGAGGCGCATTATTTTATGATCTCTGAGCATTAGGGATGAATGGCAGGTTTATTTTATATCATCACTGTCTTTTTACTCAGATTTTTAAGTCAATATCTAATACTCTCTCAATATATGGTAATCTGCATGGAATTTTTAAGTTTTCTAATAAAATCATCTTTTTCTTTCAATACATAATTTCAGAAGGCTATCCAAATTCTGAAATATAATTTTATTTTGCCTTACAATTACCTTTCTTCTTAAAGAAACAATTTTTAAATTTCTTGAGGAGAATGCAGATGAGAAAAGCATTCAGCACACAGAAATGTGTCTGACTGTGGCTTTGAGTGGGGCAGGATGAGGATCTAGGCAGAATGTTCAAACAAATTCATACACAAAGTAGTAAAATAAACAGTAAGAACGTCTATGTATCTTCAGTGCAAGGTGTTATTTCTGAAAGGTGACCAGGCCCTTGGCAAGGAAAAAACAGTACATGCAAGTTAGAAAATAAAGAAGAGCCTACCTTTTGGACCTGATAGATCTATAGAGAAGGACAAAAGAAAAAAGAAATGTAAAATCCAATTAAAGAAGCTGTAACATCAGAATGAAAGGTTCTCCCCATATGAATCAAAGCCACAATGAATAACAGTAAAATGTGAATAAGAAAACACGTGAGGTCCCACTGACAAGAGTTTGTAATTTTATCACTTACTTTACATTCCATTTTAGATACATCGGGGAAATAGGGGCATAGCCACACGAATCGCTACCAAAAATACTGCTATTATTCTAATACAGAAGTCTGTATAACCTATTGCCATCAATAAGAAAAAGTTCTTCCTTCATCTTTAATTCAAAATTTCCTTTTGCAGTAATAAAAGTTTAATCAAAAAGTGCAGAAACTTAATTGGAAAGTTAACTGGTCAAATTCACAAATAATGAAGAAAGAGGCTTTGATGTTCTGATTCACACAGACACATACAGAGTAACAGGAAAATTCCAGCTAAATGGAGTGTTCATTCGAATGTAACAGAAATCTTCCTAAAAGAGGTTATTATCATACATTGACACATTCATTTGCTTCAGAGGGTTCTCTTAATTTTGTAGTAATCACTAGATAAAACTGAGATAGCTACTCATTTTCATTCATTCTTCATTAAGACATTTGTCATATCAGGCACTATTGAAGGCACTGCCAAAACTGCGAGACCAAGAAGTTGGCATTTCTAGTCTTATATGGGGGAACACGTGATCTAGTCTTATATGGGGGAACATCCAACAATATGACTGTAAGAAACAAAGCATCTCTAACCAAAATGTGTATCAAGTCAGTAGCAAGAAAAGAGATATCCCGATCACCATTTTTTTCTATCAGTGTAGGTTCTCCCGAAGAAGTTTAAGGTTCCCTTGATTTTCCCAAAAATATGTACATTATTCTCCCCTAACAAATCCGTTAAAAATGAGCTCATATCCTTTTAAACAGACCCTGGAATGCAGCTAGAGTAAGCTGTGGTGGGTTCTTGCCGTCTGTGTGCTGAAAAGAACCACCTCCACGCTTCCCTTGGGGGACACCAACCCCGGTCAGCTTCCTGCCCGTCTCAGTGTTCTCAGAGCGGCCCCCTCAAGAAAACCCTGAGCCTGCTCAGAAACGCCTGCATGCAGGGGAGATGGCTTTTGACCCAGATGAAAACAGGGACCAGGTTTCTCAATTTTTATACCAAAGTATCAACCCTACCCTTTAAACACTGGTCTTCCAAAACGTATTCATTTCCCCTTAATCAACAACTTAAAATGCCAGTGCCCCAAGCTACCAGATTGTATAACCTCCAATTGTGTTAACTGCTTCTAATAATAGCCAGGCCCAGAGACTTGATATGCAAAGAAGAGTGTGAGGCACCTTCCTAAATCCTCCAGGCACCGCCCAAAGATGGCCCGAAGACGTGCAAGCTCAGACCCCACTAGCTCGACTCCCTCTTCCCTCTGGATGCATACACAGATGCTCATGTGTGTGAGTGCACATACACACACATGCACACACGAATGCATGCGCGCACACATGGGTACACCCCTCCTGGCCTCTGCCCCACCCTCTGGATCACATAAAAACACAGCTAGGTGAACGGCTACTGATTCTGTATTTATAGAAAATTCTAACAAAATTGTCTATTTTATGTTTCATATTCCTGTGCCTCAAATTCCGCACCAAGGAGAACTTCAAGGCATGCTTCCACTTGGAAAGTGACTAGGATTATGTGGATCATTCTATTTCCCCCTCTGCTGTGGGTGCCAGCATCCTCAGCGTGAACTTCAACCCCATGGTCCACGGACTCACTCCATCCTCCACTCTTACTTGTTTTTATTGTTGGCTGCAGAACTGATTTCGAGACAGAGGGGTGTGCTAGGAAGACCACAGGCTTTGCATCTTGTCAAACCCGGTTTGAACCTTGGCTTGGCCATTTTCTTGGATTCAGGGAAAACTGTGTCTCCCCTTAAGGCCTGTTTTCCTCACCTGTAAAGTTCGGGAAGATGCCCGCCACCGACGGTAGGTGACAGCCCCAAGCCCACCTCTGCTGCATGGCAGGGGCCCTGAGATGACCCCAACCCCAGGCTTCTCTGACTAGTAACAAAATACACATCTATCTTATTTAAGATCTTTCAATCCTTCTTTTGAAGAAGCAGACATAAACTTTAAACAAGAATGTCATCACCTTGCAAAAGGCCCTAAATTCATGAAGGCACTGTTGCCGTCGTTAGGAACGCGTGCTGCGCTGGGCTGACTGGGCCGGCCCTTCCTCGTCTGGCTCTCGTCTCCCAGGGCAGCTTCCTGTCTGTCACATCCATCCTCTGCTGCCACAAAGAGTGGCTTTCTCCTCCGTAGAGCTGCTTCACTCCATGTCCTCACTCACCATCTTGGCCACGTTCATTTCTCTGCCCCTCCTGACACGTCTCCCACCTTCCCAGGCTCTCGTTCCACAACCTGGTAAATTTGGGTGGCTCTGGGTCCTGGTCCGTGAGCAACCCCAGGCAGGAGTCTGCAGCCACGCCCACGACACCCGCCCTGTGTCATAGCCGCAAGCCACAGTCGTGAGGGCAGAAGTGCAGGCATCAGTGATGAGGAAGCTGAGACTGCAGATCCACACAGGACCGTGCAAAAGGTAACGTTGGCCAAAGGTGCTGCCTGCAAGGGACACCATCCCCTCCTCTGGTCCCTGCTGTCTGAGAGCACAGACCAAAACCACCACTCTTGGTGGAGGACGTTCCACCGAATTTGCAACAGGATGAGATATTTTGACCCCTGTGGCCCCCTGAAATATCTTTATGATAAAACCATGCTGCAGGGAGAAGAATTTCAAAATCTGAATGCGATCTACTAAGTAAATGACATCTGTACACGTGCTGAAGAGGACAAACCATGGAGTTTTACATCCGACTTCCCAGACTTCATCAGATGTTCTCTGCAAGGCCCGTGCTCATCAGAGGCATCAGCGAGGGCTGCTCTGCACCCCCTTTTTACGATACTAAAATTAAATGCCCAAGACTTGGTTTCCCACCTGGAGGAGCAACTACTTTTTATTTTTTGACTTTCTGAAAGAGATGGGGGTCTCATTATGTTGCCCCAGCGGGAGTGCAGCGGCTACGCACAGGGACAATCACGGCCCGATCATTGCTTCAGGCTCCTGGGCTCAAGCAATGCTCCTGCCTCAGTGTCCTGAGTAGCTGGGACTACAGGTGCATGCTACCACGCCCGGCTTATTTTTTATTTTTCTTCTCGCGTGGCTTGGAATATTACAACAGAGATGCGGGAGTCCAGCAACAGATTGTCCTTACGTTGTACAATTAAAATGCAACAGAAAAGGGCTTCCTTTGAATCAAAGGAATAAAGGGATGCTTTGCTTTTAAAGGAGGCCATTCACATAGATGATTGCTTGCCTTAATTCATCTTAGTTATTTTTTAAATCAAGAACTTTTGCCCAACAACTTTGTAACACGCTGCTTATATCAATATGTATATATTTAAATCAATTCTATCCATAATTAAGGATATAATATGGGGCAGGTGTGATGGTTAACGCCTGTAGTCCCAACACTTTGGGAGGCTGAAACAGGCAGATCAAGAGGTCAGGAGTTAGAGACCATCCTGGCCAACATGGTGAAACCCCATCTCTACTAAAAATACAAAAAATTAGCCGGGCGTGGTGGCCGGCACCTGTAGTCCCAGCTACTCAGGATGCTGAGGCAGGAGAATCGCTTGAACCCAGGAGAAGGAGGTTGCAGTGAGCCAAGATCGTGCCACTACACTCCAGCCTGGGCGACAGAGCAAGATTCTGTCTCAAAAAAAGATACAATATATTTTTATCTAAATGTTTAATTTGGAAGATGTACGTACATACTATATAATTCTTTTTTCACCTTGATTTTGTAGAAATCCTAGGTTTGTATTCTTGATGAAAGTAACTTTCGTTACATCTACTGTACAAGAGAAAGATGAAGAAAGGATGACGGATGCTATCATGAAGGCCGAGTAGGGCCCACTCACAGCTTCACGGCCATCTGCATCCTCTGGGCCCTTGGCTCTGCTGTAACAACAGAGCTGAGACACAGGAACTATGAACAGGGCAGGGGGCCTTAAAATCCCATCAACCGTGCAAAACCTGCCAGAACAACAAAATATTTTGGGAAATTCTTTTTATAACTCTTTTACAACCTTAATAAAAAACAAAGACTGAGGTCCTATTGGGGAGCCAGGCGAAGTGAATTAAAGTCGGATAAGCCTCAGAATGCCAGCATTAGCCTGAGATGGTGGCTTCTGGCTCTGGAGAAAGAGGCAGCCGTCCGCTCACACAGTGGTGTGTCCTAAGAAACAGTGGCCACTGCCCGCAAAATTAACCACCTTGCCCACCTGCTGCCGTTAGGTTTCTAAAACAGACGGAAGGGGCCAGCAGTGTCCTGCACACAAGGAGCTTGAAAGTGTCCACTGAGGTGTGAACAGACATTTCTACAGAGACACTGATACTGGGCAGTGTGAAAAAGCACTTGAAATTGTCATTTAAAATATATATATTTAAGCCAGGTGTGGTGGCTCACGCCTGTAATCCTAGCACTTTGGGAGGCCAGGAGGTCAAGGCAGGAGGATCACTTGAGATCAGGAGTTGGAGACCAGTCTGGCCAACATGGCGAAACCCCGTCTCTATTAAAAACACAAAAATTAGCCAGGCATGGTGGTACGCACCTATAATCCCAGCTACTCGGGAGGCTAAGACATGACAATCGCTTGAATCTGGAGACAGAGGTTGCAGTGAGCGGAGCTTATGTCACTGTACTCCAGCCTGGGCAACAGAGCAAGACTTGATCTCAAAAAAAAAAAAAAAAAGTATACATATACATATTTAAAAACCAGTTCAGAATAAAAGCACTATTCCTTCTAGTGGCCTCCGGCACCACTAAGGATACCAGAGCTTGAGTGTGCAGGACGGTTCCCAGGGCTCGGTGACACTGCTCAGCCTCTGCATGCAGGTTTCTACACGGAGCGGCAACCTCCTAGCAGCAGAGGGCAATGAGCACGTTAGACCGGTGGCAGGGCCCCAACCCTGCAGGGAATGTGGCCAGCTTGGTCTTTGCTGGGAATGTGGCGGAATCTACAACCACCGTAAGAGAATCTAGAAATTCAGGTTTTTATTGGAAATCTTACTGGTTTTAAACACTGGCTCGCCTTTTTACATTTGGCTATGTAAGCCAAACAAGAAAATCAACCCTGGGGAAGGCAGCTGGTTACTCCTGTCTAACAAAATACATTCAAATCTTCTTAAGAAGAAAAGCCCTTGGGGGTGGGCTCGGGTGTGGACGGTCCCTTGGCCCCAGGGCATGGCCCACGGGAGAACATGGACTGAGTGGGGTCTCAGCTTCTTTGTCTCTGAGGTCATAGAAAAGGTCACACCATAACTGTGAATTAAAGAACCCTCATGCCGTCGGAAATGACTCCCAGCTCCAGCTCAAGATGATGAAAATAACTTGCAAATGGCTTCAGCAGGTGTGTCAACACATTGCTAGCCATTTTCCCAGGGAGGAATTTCTTCCCTGCCTGCTTCATCCATGTGTTCATTCCTGTCTCTCTATCACACAGGAGCTCTAGATATCCTGAAACCTGCAGCCCGTGTGTGACCAACACTGTACAAACCATGGGGGACGTATTTTTAAACAAAACAATCTGGCCAGTTTAAAAACTCATTAATCCATTCTTCTTTTCTACTTTAATCCAGAGAATCTAGATTCTAGTACGACAGTTAGAACTTAAAGCTCAGACCCTGAACATTTTGGCTCCTTGCAGCTGGAAACGACGATCTTCACAGGCAAGAGGCTTCTAAGCCCCTCTCAGGAGCCAGCAGGTCTGAGCAGGCATGCCTGATATCCGTGCTATGTGCACTCCCGGCCTGACCTTGTGCAGAAGTCAGGCACAAACGCACTCTGACCATGAGCAACGTGAGCCAGCCAGGTGCGTCTGCAGCAACAGGTGCCTGCCCTTGCACACTGGGCCCAGAACACAAATCACTGTGAAAAGACCCAACGAGGAGTCCCAAACGTTACCTCCTTCTGCTGCCGCTCCAGCTCCTTCATGCGGATCTCACGAGCCTCCGCGCGGGCCGCCCGTTTTGCAGCGAGCCGGGCCTCTGCCTGAAACAGACAGAATATCTTATTAGAGGACAGAGCAGCGGGCACCTTCCCAGTGGAGGGTCAGCAGTGATGATGCGGAAAGAAAATCTTGTTCAGAGTTTAACAGATATACAGCAATAAATTCCAGACTAATAGAGTAAAAGGGTGGTCACGAGCAACAGAAATAGTCCTTATAAGAACTGCTACCATTTATCAAGCCCTTACCACATGCTAGGCAGGAACTATTCTAAGAGCTTTATGGATATGATGCCATGTACTCCCTGAAATAGCCTCATTAGGCAGAGACTGTTACCATCCCCAGTTTAAATATGAGGGAACTAAGGCATAGAGAGGGTAAGTAACTTGCCTGAGGTCACACAGCCTGTAAGTGGCAGGGCTGGGCAGTCAGCCTCCCTCTGGAGCTCTGACAGACGCATGGAGCGGAGTGTTAACAGCTGGATGCTACTCCAGGTTTCCAGTTCAATCCCTCGCTTTACAGAGCAGAAAGTGGAGGCCTGGAGAAGCTGCCAGACCCATCTGAGGTCATAGGGCTGGCTGGCATGGAGCTGGGACTGTAATCCCAGCGAACTCCCATCCAGTTACTTCTCAGCACACACGCACTCTCAGCTTCCGCTTCAACACAGCCGTGCCAGGAGTCCGTCTTTTCCCAACACAATGTAGATCACAGCAGAATGCTTCTAGCTGTTGGTAGTCCTTCCTTGCACTAAAAAATTAGCCTCCATATAAGTATTTTTCAACTTGTAGCTGTTCTGCCACATTCTGCTCCATGAGAATGTTTCAAATGCTTGAGCAGGAATGGACATGATACTATCGAGCCTGGCATCTGAACTGTTTCTACAAATGACTTACAAAACATTTTACAAACCACATGCGTATTCACCGTTTCATGTGATACAACAACCCAGTAAGCTTGATGGCATAAGTGTTACTGAATGTAGGTTTTCTGGTATCAAATAAACCCCACCCTCTTTCTACTTAAGTTTTTTTTGGTATTCGTTTTGTATTCTTTCCCCCATTGTTTTTTTAACCCCGTTTTTCGGTGTTTTTGCTTATTTTTTTCTTTTTTTTTTTCTTTTTTTTTTTTTCCTTTGGGGATGGGGTCTTGTTCTGTCGCCCAGGCTGAAGTGCAGTGTGTGTGTATTCACAGGTGTGATCACAGCTCACTGAAGCCAGGAACTCCTGGGTTCTAGCAACCTGCCTCAGCCTTCTGAGTAGCTGGGACTACAGGTTTGCACCACCACAACTGGCTCCTAGATAATATTAAAATGAGACTTGCGAGGTGGCTAGCAAGCTCCTGGCATGGGGGTGGTCCTGACAGGGACATCCATCTCTCCCATCCTAGACTTACACTATATTACAGATGTATCTTCTTTCTCAATTTTTATCTAAGTTGCAAACTGGCCATACTTGATCTGTCGTCTTGAGATTGCCTGGCTTGTGTCCTCATGAGGAATCTGTTCTATTCGCTTGGCTCCTTTATCAACCCACCCCATGTCTTTCAAATCAAGGGGTGTCAAAAATCACAATTGCATCAAGAGTTTGATACCTTGTTGCCATTTTCAATTTCCAAGACCATAATACATGGTGTGAAGGGCCTATTGGGGCCAGGCTAGGCATGGTGGCTCAGGCCTGGAATCCTAGCACTTTGGGAGGCCATGGCAGGTGGATCTCTTGAGGTCAAGAGTTCGAGACCAGCCTGGGTAACATGGTAAAACCCTGTCTCTACCAATAATACAAAAATTAGCCAGGTGTGGTAGCACACACCCGTGGTCCCAGCTACTTGGGAGGCTGAGGTAGGAGGATCACTGGAGCCTCGGAAGTTGAGGTTGTAGTGAGCTGTGATTGTGCCACTGCATTCCAGCCTGGGTGACAGAGTGAGATCCTGTCTTAAACAAAAGAAAGGCCTCTTGGGTCTATACAAAGATCTAGCAAAGAGGAAGGAGACAGAGAAGGAAAGGCATTAGAGTGACGTCCTACAGCCCTACCAATGGGCCAGCAAAGTGACCAAGGCCACACCAAGGGCAGCCCTTCCTAGTAAGGCAGGTGGCTCTGTGCCATTGGCTCAGTTTCTAAGTCAGTTCAGAGCAGGTATGAGGTTTCAAAGCAGCCATAGTCCACCAGCTTGGGGGTTGGGGGGTGGGGGAACAGAGAGGAGGGGCTAGGAAAAGAGAAGGGAGGCCATACAGAAAGAAGAAGGGGAGCAGAGGGGTGAGATGTAAGAAAGAGGAAAGAGTTGGGGGAAAGAAGGGCACCAGAAGGAAACAGAGGGAGAGACAAGGGCAGTCGACTGAATTCTGGGTTGGTCTCCAAGACTCTGGTGTACACGCCCTGCATAGCCCTCTCCCACTGTGTGGGACCGTGGAATTGTGGGCTGGTCCCCAAGACTCCCACCACCAGTGTACCTGCCTTGCATACCCCTCTCCCACTGAGTGTGTGGGACCATGGACATAATGGATGACACCACTGTAATTAGGCTGTATTACGTGGCAAAGAGTATTAAAAAATAATTAAGATCCTTCATCAGTTGACTGCCTTGCTCAAAAGAGAGATTATCCTGTGGGCCTGCCCTAATCAGGAGAGCCCTTTTAAAGACGGTCTAGAAGTTAGAGTGTCCTTGCTGGCTTTGAGAAAGCAAGCTGGCCGGTGGGAGGGACCTCGACGAGCTGAGAGCAGCCCCTGGCTGACTGACACCAGCAGAACAGTGACCTCAGTCCTACAACCACAAGGAACTGAATTCTTCCAACAAAAATGTGGCTCAGAAGAGGGGCCCAAACTCCAGAAAGACCCCAGAGTGGCCAACACCTTGGCTGTAGCCTTGTGAGACCTGAACACAGGACCCAGTGGGGCTGAGTCCAGGCTCTTTTTTTTTTTTTTGAGACAGGGTCTCCCTCTGTCACCCAGGCTGGAGTGGCGTGATCACAGCTCACTGCAACCTCCGCCTCCCAGGTTCAAGTGATTCTCCCATCTCAGCCTCCCGAGTAGCTGGCACTACAGGGCAGGTGCCACCACACCCGGCTAATTTTTGTAGTTTTTATAGAGACAGGGTTTTGCCACATTGCCCAGGCTGGTCTCAAACTCCTGGGTTCATGCCATTCGCCTGCCTCAGCCTCCCAAACTGCTGGGATTACCAGCATGAGCCACTGCGCTTGGCCATTGTGCCCAGACTCCTGACCACAGAAACTGTGAGATCATAACTATGTGTTATCCTAAGCCGCTGAATTGTGGATATTTATTACACACTAGCAGATAACAGAAGGAGAGGAGGCCTGAGGTGACTCCTGCTCTCACAGGGAAAGTATCTCTGTGAGCTGAGTGGGATCCCAGGCACCTGCATGCCCACCCACTTCCCTGCCTGCCTGCCCAGCTCCCCACCCTAATCCAGCTTAGCTCTGCTTGGGTCTGGCCAAAGGTCCTTGCAGAGCTCGCCTGCCTGAGCATGCAGTACTCCACCTGGGGGCTCCGTGTCAGGCGTCCCCCCTCCAGACTCGCAAGACTCCAAAACAATGTCCTGTCAGACCCAGCTGCTCTTGGGGGCCCGCCCTCCACCAAGGAAAAGGTTCCCATCATGGCCCGCCTTCGGCCTAACAGGTCTACCCCTGTCCCTCACTTGGGGATAATGACATTTAAAGACTAAAAAACAGTGACCTTTGCTGGGAGGCACATGGGCTTGGGCTGACAAAGGAACCCCATGGATGAACTATGTTATGGCATCAATTCCTCAGGAGGACACGTGCCCACCTCCAGGACAGGTCAACTATGGCGATCTCCACCTTACATGAGAATTCAGAAAGAAGTCCATTTGTCACTGAATACAATTCCAAATCCTTGCAACCCCCGCCTTCTAGAACATCTCCATCCCTTACGATCCTCACATGACTCATATGTGGAAAACAAAGCGCTGGCAATACCGGAAGTGGCAATTTAGTTTACGGGCAATTCTTGGCATCTGCCTGACTAAACACCAACAAATATATGAGCCAGCATTTAAACTGGCACAAAACCCATGCATGACCATCTTCACGAACACAAAACTACACACTTAGCCACAGAATAACTCTTGCCACTCGCTTAAGATGCCTGAAAGAAAATCTGCAGAGTTGGCCAGGCGTGGTGGCTCACACCTGTAATCCCAGCACTTTGCGGGGGCCGAGGCAGGCGAATCACCTGAGGTTGGGAGATTGAGACCAGCCTGGCCAACATGGTGAAACCCTGTCTCTACTAAAAATCTACTAAAAGTACAAAAAATTAGCTGGGTGTGGTGGTGGGTGCCTGTAATCCCAGCTACTCGGGAGGCTGAGGCAGAAGAATTGCGTGAACCTAGGAGGTGGAGGTTGTGGTGAGCCAAGATCGCGCCACTGCACTCCAGCCTGGGAGACAGAGCAAGATTCTGTCTTGAAAAAAAAAAAAAAGAAAGAAAGAAAAGAAAATCTGCAGAGTTTCGACAAAATTCTTCCCCAAACAGAGACACTGCGAAGAAAGGCACAGCAGCCTGACAGGGCACAGCAGATGACAGACAGTGGGGAGAGTGCTGACTGTGCAGACGCGGGTTCTCAGGGATCAGGGCACCTTGCGCCAGTGCTCCGGTGGTGCAGGACGAATCCTTTATTGACGGACACTTTTGTAAAATATAAAATCTCATGAAGGGCCACAGCCATGTGAGACTGCTTGAAGAGTTTCGGAACACGGCCTGTCACTTTCTGTGAGTAGCCTGTGGGCTAACCATGGCCCGCGGAGGTCACAGGAACGCACTGTGCTGTGAATGCAGCGTGGTGCCTCTGCACCGCTTGCGATGGTGGGAGGGATTTCCAAAACGCAGTTTAGGTGTCCAGTCTCCCGGGAAACAGGCAAAGCGCCTGGTGACAATGTACATGTGATGAGGACCACATGGGGGAAGAAACGGGCCGGGGCTGCTGTGGAGAACTTGACCCAACGCTGGGGGGCTGCGGAAGGCGTCCGCAGGACAGGAGCCCTAAGCTGGACCCTGAAACAGGACAAGCAGA